GGGGAAGTGCCTCGCGCAGGGTCCCACAGCTAGCTCGTGCCTGAGGTCGCATTGGAACTCGGGTCTCGGTGGCCCGGGCTTGGCGCTCTGCCCCCTCTGTACCCCCTTTCCACCTCCCCCCCACCCCCGCCCCGCCTGGCTTCCTGTGGCTAGGTGGCGGACCTGCGGGGCTGGGGAGGGAGCTGGAAATTTCCAGGGGCGGCCGGCCCCGGGGGAGCGCCCCCTTTCTTCTGTGCTCTGGCCAGCCCCGGGGGCCACACCCTTGCCTCTGAGCCGTTTCGGGCCACTTCTTCACCTGCCTGCTCCGCGGTCTCGGGGGCCTTTAGGCGATTTCCCATCCCGCCTTGGGAGTCCTTTGGGATTCCTTCCCATCGCGCTCCTGGGGGTGGGGGTCGGGGTCTCTCGCCCAGGTCCCATTTCCATTTTTCCAGCTTATTGTCAGCGTTCGCGAGGTGTTATGTTTATTAACATTTTAAGTTTCCATCCCTCGCCTGAATGCGCCGTCTCGCTTGGAGATCGCTGTTTTATTTTCGCTTTGAGCACGCAGAATTGGGACCGGAAAAAAAAAAAAAGACCTTTTTGATAGTTGAACCAAGCACCTTCCTGTGTTCAAACTTTCTTGGGCAGAGCCTGTTAAGAATGCTGTCCTGAGGAGTTGCTTTTTGGAGGTGGGTTCTTTATCTCCGTTAATTGTTGGCTCCTATTAGTGAAAGATCTCATCCCTTATTTGTAACTGTAAAGGGTGGGATTGAATAAACACTTCAGGCTTTTCCCATCCCCCTGGGTGCTATTAAGCATTTCGGATTTCATTTCTATCTCTTTTTCTACTGGATAATCAAATGAAATGACATTTGTAAATTGCTTAGCACAGTACCTGGCACGTAGTGGATGCTATATAAACACTAGCTATTAATAGGAATTGAGAAAGCTGCGGTTTCAAGCCTTAAAATGGTATTTATGCGGTTTTAAACCTGCTTTGTTAATTGAGGAAAAAAAGGCTGGAAGTCCAGATTGTTTTTCAGTGTCCATTGGACACGGATACTTCTTTCCTTCTCCCCCCCCCCATTTTCATAGGTAGGGCTCATATTTGGCAGTTGAGTCTGTTACCTTCTCACTTGGGTTGGGTTCCGTGGTCATTGTATCCAAAACCTAAAAGTCTGCCACTTTTTTCCCCTCCATGGAGCCAAGTTCTGATATCGTGTCTGTTATTTGACTCTGGACAAAACCTGTCCTGGTTTTTCCATTCTGATCACCATTTACCTGTAGTGGGAAAAATAGCAGAAAATCATCCCAAAGTGGCTGTATCTAACCTGAGTATACAGTGGCCTGAGGGACTGTTCAGTTGGGCATCACCATTTCAGTAGTCCCTTTAGAGTTCATGTTTGTGTCTTTAGTATTTTAATTTGGTTCTGGTTAGTCTGAAGACCTTTCTTTTTCTCCGCAGATGATTTGAGGAAGCTGTTAAAATAACATTTATTAAATTTTGAAAGTGATGTGGTAATTGGGGGAGAGGGAGAGTACATTTGTTAGTGACTTTTTTTCCTTTAGGTTTCATTACTGACATTTGCCATGATAAAGTCTCCCCTCTTGATGATTCCATTCAGCAGCTCAGGCTGTTATTCCTCATGTAGGTTGAGTTCCCTGCAGAACACAAGGCAGCCACTTTAATGATCAGAGGACTGAGTAGGCTCACCACCTTAAACCCTAAAATGATGGTACTGCTGGAACCATCGACCTCACAGAATTGTTGTGAGGAAAGGTCCTTGCAAAGGGTTATTTAGAGGTGCTATTTCATTTGTTTTAAATGAGTGGGCCATCGGTTCAAGCTTGCAAAGCTTACATAGATACTTTTGTGATAGTATTGAGATTTGACCTGGATAAATCCAAGTTAATTTTTAACACCATAATAATATGTTGAAACTTAACATCTGGCAAACTGCCTCGTTGTGCCCTCTATCTTTGCCGGAGTGAAATCTGTTGCATACAGCAATTTTTTTCACATATTATTAATTGAGTAGTTTACCAAATGTTTTGTACTAGATTTCTGAGTATCTCTTAGCATTGCAGTCACAGGTGACTACTTGCAACAGGTATATGGATGCTTTTGCATTATTTGGAGTATCTTAATCCTCCTGAAACTACTGGAGAGCTGTTGGGCAAAGTACTCCTCATACATTCATTAAGGATGAGAAGTGTGCCTTGGGGAATGGGCATAAGAGCAAATGTGGTCCTCATCCTTAATTTAAAATATTTGATGACCTGGTTAAAGACTTAGGAATCTCATCAGATAAATTCGCCTTTCTTATTATATTATTATTACTATTATATCAGCTGCCTTAAAAATAAAAGCTTCATTTCTTCCCCCCAACCCCATTTGATTCTAGTCTCATTTTCTGTGTTTCACCAGGAATTTTATGTTTTCACAAAGTGGCTTAGAAAATGGCAGAAACTTTACTTGGGAAGGCAGGTTATAAAAATACTTAATAAGCAGATTTGCCCAAAAAGATTATTCTAGCCAATATCATTAACACTTTTCCATCTGTTTCAGAACTACATGGTTTTATCTTGTTTCTTCCCAGAACCCAATGTTGAAGATGGTAAGGTTGGGAGGGCTGCCATTCTAGAGGAAGCTCCAGAAATAAGCATAGAATTTAATGGCACCTAGTGTCTGTTCTAGAAGATGATCTAAAAATAACCTTCTGGCTAATTTATTGCACATATTTACCTTCTCATTTAGTTTGAGAAGAACATGGCTCTTGAAATGTTGATTCTCTGCTTGATCTAAGGATGGGGTCTATTGACATAGTTAGTACATTGTAGTGCTTTACTTAACTTCAAGCATTTTGATCTTTTGATTTATTTGCCTTCTTCTTCTTCTTCTTCTTCTTCTTCTTTTTAACAGTTTGTGGTTTGTATTTTCTAATGTTTTGTCCCTCCCCACCCCAAGGAAAAAAAACTGTTTTGGTGATTTTCCAGAACCAACAAAATGTATGCTTTCCTTCCAAGGGTTAGCTGAGTTGGCTCATCGTGAATATCAGGCAGGAGATTTTGAGGCAGCTGAGAGACACTGCATGCAGCTATGGAGACAAGAGCCAGATAATACTGGTGTGCTTTTATTACTGTCATCTATACACTTCCAGTGTCGCAGACTGGACAGGTAGGAACTTGGGCTTATTTCTTAGACATTGAAATTCAAGAAACAAAGTATACTTGAATCGTTGCTATTGTTATGTTGTCCTTCACGCAAGCCTGCAGAAATGCTTCTGAGCCTGCACAAGTTCATTCTAGTACTTGCTGGGTTCGTACATAACACTTGGGCCTGGTGGCAGCTTCTCTTTTCCTGGTTCTTGTTATTAGGCACAGGCATAATTGCTAAAGAGTTGAAGAGGGGAGGGCTAAAGGGACTTTGCAGACTTGACCACCTGGGGCTTTTGTTAACTATTCAGGTAACAAACTATTACTGGTCCTATTTCCTTTGACACTTGAAAGGCATGTCATGGGGGACAGGACAGGAGGGGAAATGGTTCACAAATGGAAATGCATATGGCTGGAGAGGAAATGTATGGCCTTCAAAAGATAACTACTACTAAAACATAAATTTGAATCTTTTGGACTAAACTGAATTACCAAGCAAGTAAAAGAATTATGCTGTAATGTACTAAGTGTTATGTATCCTTTACTACCCTTAACACAGGGGTCCAGGGTTACTTTGGTGCAGATGGTTGCATTGTTAGGATAGATGGAATGGAAGTGCACCTAGTAAGCACTTACTATGTGTTAATCCCTCTGTGGGGTGCCAAGAATAAAAGTACAAAATTGGTATAGTTCCTCTCTCAATTAAATTAAAGGAGACCACCTGTATAGTAGGGTTCAGCTCCAGGGTAGATGGAAAGGCCAGATCAGATGGTCCTTAGGTGCAGGGTTGTCATGTTTGACACTACCATGGAGGGTGGCTTGGGTGGGGTCCCAGTAGATGGGCTGCCCCTTGTTTCTTTTTGCTTTATGATGAGGCATGATATGTTAAGAAGAAAGCAACCAACAGTCTCTACAAGAAAAACCAACTATCAGTGCCTATCTCCCAGACTAATGTGTATTTGATTGGCTAGCTCATTGAGTTAGTATATCTATATCTGTATCTATATCTATATCTGTATATATCTGGGACAGGTACTACAGTTTAGAGAATTGGGCCCAGAATGGAATAGGAGATTGAATGGGCTAGGCTGTGTTTGGGAAATTGTATAGTACTTCTGTCGATTCCAAACTGCTCCCTTGTATGTGACCCTTTTAACAACCATTCTTCTAGTGATGTATGGTTGTGAATCTTTGAAATGCTATAGATTTAAGTAGCAAATTAGATTCTGGGACACTTTATTTCTTGAATCTATGATCAGTCTAGATAGAAGATCATTCTTTATTCATTCTACTATGCTCAGAAGACTAGAAAATGGATGATGGGGTTCTTTCCCCCCAAAAAAAACTTCTGAAAATGCTTTTGTTGCTTGCCTTTTTCTTCAGCACTCTGCTTTTAAAGTTATTTAAGTCTTACGTAGTTCCCAGTTAGGTGAATAATTGTCAGATAGTGAAAAGAACATGCAGGAGTCAGAAGACTGGCTTTTGGTATATGTCCTTTGCAGAGCCTGGATTTGATAATGTTTTGAGATGCTTTGTAAACTGTGGTATAGAAAGTTGACATTCTGGAATGGGAGGACTTGGTAGACCAGGCCAGGTTTGAGGAGGTGCCTTTCTCTAAATCATCCTTGTCACCGGTCTTCTCTCTTTTCCAGGTCTGCTCATTTTAGCACTTTGGCCATTAAGCAGAACCCACTTCTGGCAGAGGCCTACTCCAATTTGGGGAACGTGTACAAGGAGCGTGGACAGTTGCAGGAAGCTATTGAGCATTACCGACATGCACTTCGCCTCAAACCTGATTTCATCGATGGCTATATTAACCTGGCAGCCGCTTTGGTTGCAGCAGGAGACATGGAAGGGGCAGTGCAAGCTTATGTGTCTGCCCTTCAGTACAATCCTGTGAGTAGAATTTGGTAGTGACTATATTACTCCCACAGACACCCAGGAAGCTGCTTTGGGTAGCTCACTCATTGCAAAGCCAAAATAGTATTTTTGTGTTTGGGAAGGGGGTCTTTACATAAGATGAACACGATTACTTTAAGCTGGGCTCTTAAATAAGAAAATTCCTCTAATAAGCAGATAACGAAAAGGATAAAATCCACCCTCGCTGCAGTTCTTCTTGTGGGTCGTTCTGGTAAGTCTTGATGCTGTCTGAATTCTCAATGTAGAACGACTACAATGACAACATGTAGCTTGGGAATGCTGGATGTTTGTGATGGTGACGTTTCCCTATACTTAACATAACTGTCATATGGACTGGCTCCAACCATGTATTAGGAGCTGTAAGTTATGTTTAGGAGAGTTGTTACATAATAGGGGTTAGGACAGATCTTTTTGTTAACTGATAGGAAATTTGGTCTGCTTCTGCTGCTAATTAATTAACATAAGGTTTAGAGTTAGTTGCATAAGTGACTTAAAAGTCACTTAAATTCTGTGCTTCAGTTTATTCACCTCTAAAAATGGGACTGCTGCTTGCCTGCCTTCTTCACAGGATTGTTGGAGAATTCAATGAAAAAATTGACTTGAAGATTCTTGGTGAAAACTTAATACTCCCAATTAGGTAGTATGTTATGTGCACTTGAGCTTCTAAGTGGTTTTTAGGGAGTGAAAGTGTAGTGCATCTATCTGTCTGCTGTTGACATGTAAAATTTCTTTAAAACAGATGTCAAAGTATAAGGTTAGATCATTTTTTCTTCATCTTGTCATATCCAGGCAGCATAGAAGATAAAATTGGTAATGAAGTGAAAATGGTTTCACTAGGCTTTTTGTTTAGTGCCTATATTTTTCTTTATAATTAAAAATGAGCCAACAGATTAATTGCATATCCATCCTGTAAAAGATAAAAAGAGGTGTGAGAGAGAGCCCTTACTCTCAAGACGTTTACAATCCAATTGAGGAGACATGACATGCCTAGAAATAGAACTAGCAATCTAAGGCATTGTATATAAGGTAAGTGCAAAACGAATGGGTCCAGGAGACAAATACCCTATGAGTGAAAGGCCTTTACCATTTCGTTTGTGGTCCATCTAGTGGGGTAGTTTCCTCAAAGATCTGATAAACTAACCAGTCTCTGTACTTCAATACTCTGTCACTGCTGCCTTAGGGCTCAGTTCTGATAGTAAGTAGCGCTCCCTTAGTTCAGAACCTCAGTTGCTAATACTTAATAGCAGTAGAAAATGAAGAATAATTAATATGTTGAATGACTGAATTAGAATCCAAAAAGTTATCAACAGGCTAGTGTGATGGGCTGAATCCCATAAGATAAAATTTTACATAGACAAATGTAGACTCTATCTAGCACTTTGGTTTTTTTTTTAAAAAAAAGCCAACTGAACATATACTCAATGGTAGAAGACGATTAGCAGCTATAGAATTTTTCATTTAAAAAAGGTGTGATTTTATTGGACTGTGAACTCAATGTAAAACATCAGTGTGATCCTTCGACTAAGAAATCGAAGGAGATTTTTGCCTGCACTGATAGAAACCTAGGGACCCTAAAGAGGGAGGAGACGGTCTCTTTCTAAGCTGCCTTGGTTAGATATCATCTGGAGGATTGCCTTCAGGTCTGGGTGCTGCCTTTAAGAGATTTTGCATAAGCTAAAGTACATCCAGGACGGTGCAGGAGACTGGAAGCTATGCTTACAAATGAAAATAGATTACCAGGAACTGGGCTTGGTTAGACTAGAAAAGAAAATGGTATGTGACTGTTGTCTTCAGGTAGCTGAAGACCTGTCAGTCAACTGGAAGAGAATTCCTCTTGTACCACCACAGTTTTATCTTAATTGTACTAGCCTTTTGATCTCTGGATCCTCGTTCTGTTCATCAGTATATGAAGACCTTACCCTTCATACTCTGTTGTCAGTACTGGCAACTAAAGACTAGAACTGGACTTTTTATCTGATTTGAGAGGGCAGAACTAGTAGCAATGGGTTGCAAATAGGTATTTGTGCCTGATACAAAGAAAAGCTTCAAACTGTCTCAAAGTGACCGTGGGGGGTCCTCAACCTGAGAAGACTTCACATGCCAGCTGCATGTCCTATTGTGGAATGGCGTTATTTATTATTGTGGGTGTGGGAGGGGTCCTGTTCAGGAATAAGTTGCCCTAAATAATAGTTTCTCCCAACTCTGAGACTGTATGGAAATGAGACGATGAGAAAAGGAGATGTTAGAGAACTGTGATTCTGAAGGACCAAGCCATTAGCTCAACCGAAATCTGTCCTGCCCTGCCACAGAAGCTGGATGGTACCAATAAGGAAAGTTGGATTACTCTGAATCGTGTACAATGCTGGAACCCCTGGTTGTTTGCTGGGTGGATTGGAAACATTGACGTGATTTCAGCTTTTCATGATTACTCGTCATGAGTAAATATTCCCGGGCATCCTTCACTTGCTTTAGTGAAGGTGCTATGAGTGCCCTGACCTTTGCTGTTTGACTGACTGATAAAGCTTGAAACGTTCCCAGTGCCTCATTGACTTTGTATGGTAGTAGCTGCATTGCCATGGTCTTTATGTCACACTTGAAGGTTTGCAGGGCACTTCATAAATATCTCATTTGAACCTCACAATAACCCTGGGAGGTGTGGTGCTATTCTGATCCCCAGTTTGTGGTTGAGGAAACGGAGGCAGAGACTGGTTAAGAGTCACACAGCTAGTGAGTGTGTGCAGCCACATATGAGTTCTGGCCTTCCTGACTCCAGGTTCAGTATTCTATTTACCGTGCCACCAGCTGTCTCTAAATGGTCCAAGACACTCAGACAACTTTGATTTTGCAGTGGTGAAGAAGTGCAGTATTAATGACTGACAGTCATTACTTTATTACAGCTTTACTACGTCTCCATTTTATAAGTTAGTCCCCCACTTAACTTGTATCTAGTGGCGTCTCATTTCTAATGAAAAGGTAGGTCACGTTCAGGGCTGTTTTTTGACTCGATCGGAGAAATTGCCCTGATACATTGAGCTGTTTGATTTTTGCTTTTTGTATCATCAGTAGCTCTTCAGAGCTTCTGGTAATGTTTGGTGTGTTGACGTGGCGGAAATGCTAAGTCTGCCATTTTAAAGGTGCTTTTGCTGACGGTCTTGATCACGGATTTGATGGAGTTGATTTTAGATTATTCTCAGCAAGTGGTACGAGCATTACATGGTTGTCCTGGTGTGCTTTTGCTGTTCCTGAAGCTTCACTTTTACTGTGATTACCCTCCTTCCAGTGACCAGTCCATTGAGCACTGTTTTGTCATCCTGATGTCATAAGTGTCAGGGGCTCTCACTTCTGCAGCTGAGCTCTGGAGGACCATTCATTTCTGTGCTTTTGCTGCTGTTGGTTAAATGTAGCACATGTCAGAGGTCAGTAAATATTTGAGTGCTTGCTGTGTGCATTGCTAGAAGCTCTGGGGAGATCAGAAAAACTAATGGGGTTCCTTTGCTTGCTTATGATCCAGTGAGACAGGATACACACGTAAGAGAGGCAGCAGATCAAAGGGGATGCATGCACTGCTAAAGCTAGGGAGGGTAGTGTGTGTGAGTGTGCTGGAGAAATTTGGAGAAAGGAGGTGTCAAAAGCAATATTATTAATCTTAAAGGATTAGGGATATTGTCCCTTCCCCTCCAAGGATTATTCTTTGTTGTGGACAACCATGTTCTCCTATATAAAAAAAAATTGTTTGCTAATACCCTAAAAGCAAGTTTAAGTTGGCCTAATCATGAGCAGTCAACCCAGCATGGCAGTTCTGTGTTGAGGACATCCTATAGTTTGCCTAATCTTTGCTCATAGTTAAGACTTGCTGATTCTGAGAAACGATTCAGAATTCAGTATGGTGCATAGCGAAAACACCAGCTCTTAACTGAATAGGGGCGCATGATATTTCTTAACTGTTGGTGTTTTTCTGGGCAGAGTCGGACAGATGCCAGAAGTAGTCTCATGACAGATGCCTTTCCCTCCCGTTTGGGTGAAGGTGTCAGGTGACTATCTGTACAAGTTCAGCTTTGTCTAAGGAGCAGAGTCAAGTGGTGGCCCTGCACTGAGGGTGCTAATGAACAATACAGTGTAAACAGCAGGAAACACAAGGAGTTGAGGAATTTATTCTTGCGTAACAGCTAAGCATCATTTTTAAGTTTCTGAACTTCTCTCGGAAGCCTAGGTTCTGGTTATTTTGTTTCACAAGATTTTCTGTTTTAGTGGAAGTTCTAGCTTTGGTATGATTCAACACTGCCTTGGTAATATAATTAATAATTAAATTGTATTGAATCTGAGTATTTGGCTTGTGAGTGCTGATCTTTTGAGGGACAGAGAAGCTATTTACTTCCCTGATTCACTGCTTCAACCTTAAGTGACACAGTAGAATGAAGTGTAGAACTCCAAAATGTGATTGCAAGGTTTCTGAAGTTATGCCACAACAGAGTACAGTTAATGATAAAGTGTCTCTGATTTCTAGGATTTGTACTGTGTTCGCAGTGACCTGGGGAACCTGCTCAAAGCCCTGGGTCGCTTGGAAGAAGCCAAGGTAGGTGTTCATTAGAATGCATTTAAACGTCAGCGTTTTGAAAACTTGTACTCTTTGCTAAGTCTTCCAGTCTTCATTGAGCTATCTTCACAAACAGTCCTGAGAAACTGAGGAAAACTGACAGCATGAATCGCCTCAGCCTAGAGCAAGGCCAGGCTTTGGCACCCCTGCTCTAAATCTGGGGGTAAAGAAAGCAAGGACCTGAACGTTGTGGAGCCCTTCTACTGAGCTAGATCCCCCTGTATCATTGGGCTCCAGCAGGATCTTATCTGGGAATAAATAACATTCCTTCATATCTGAGGCTTGCTGCTCTTCTAAGTCCTTTGTGGCTTGTAAGTGGAGAGGAAAGTCATCAAAATGTTACCCTGTAATACTGGCATTTAAACTTCTTATTCTTTAACCTTCCTCCCCTCATCTCCCCCTCCCCCAACTCCCCTACCCTTTTTACAGTGGAAGAAAGGCTGCTAAATGATAACAAATTTAATAATTGGAGCTTCCCCCCCCCTCACCCCCTCCTCTCATTCTACCTCCCCACCTCTTTACAGTCTTCTCTTCCCCCTTCCCTGCAGTCTCCTTAGTCTTCTCCTTCCCTTCTTTATTTCCTTCTCTTTCCCTGCCTTACTCCCTTTAAAAAATATCAAAGGGCAGAAGGACAAAGCTGGTTTGTTTGGGAAATGGACTGATCGAAAGAAAACTTGCTAAAGTGGAAAGGTGGCTTTTAGCAGTCTTTGTTTCCAAATGATGAGAATTTGAATACCAGGTTGGGTTTTAAAGCTTTTGGCATAATTTAAAACATAAATTACAAAATGAAATTGTCTTGTTACAAGCCACCTTACGCAATCGCGCTGCAGGGGTGAGGAGTGGGGAGAAACCAGAGAGCCTCTGAAACTCCCACCTGTTGCTCTGAGCCCCACGCGCATGCTGATGCGTGGAGTGTATGCGCAGCGTAGCTGTCTGTTTGATCACCTCATTGTAGGGAGAGCGAAAGGCTTTTTGGCACCATCTGATGGTAAAAAGCACTGATTTTTTTTTTTAAAGTGCAGAGTTCATAAATTCATTATACTGGCCATTTGGATTAACCGACATAGGTTTCTACCCTATGAATTCCATCTGATTGATTAAAAATGACCTGAAAAGATGTCTCGTTGGTGATTTCTATAGGAAATCTTCCAGGCCCTGTTCATTTTCATCCCACCAAGCGGACAGCTAACACGAATTGCACTTCACTGCAGCTTTAGAGACCGGTTTAGGCTGAGACACTGCGCCTGCCTTAGGTTGCTGACTTCTTTGTTTCAGAGCTCTGGAGACACCTAGTTTGAAAAGCGTTATACTGTTTTTGTGAGAACTTAGTAAACAAGACAACTATGGAGTGAAATGCAATGTATTTCTTTTGTAATCAGTGCATTTAAAAATTCAAGCCAGCAAATTCTTAGTAGCTAGAAGCAAATTTGTTTTACAGAAATTTCAGAGCCTTTCTTCCAGCAAAGTCCCTGCTGTATGCAATAGTCCTGATTAACCCTCTCCCTTCTGCATGACTCCCATGTTACAGACTGAGACTGTCCTCATTCCCATATGTTATAGACATATCCAAAGAATTTCAATTGCTTTGTTGAACTTTTACTAATGATCTTGTTTTATTTTCTCTCTTGTTTTTGGTTTTTCACCATTGATATTGTATTTAGAAGGTTTCAGGTGGGTGAAACCTCCTATTCCATGCGTAAGGTGCCTCGCTGAAGGGAGCTCGAGGCCTGGATCTAGGGCAGACACACACCTCCTCCTCCTCTTCCAGCAAGGAACGCACCGAAAAGTCACATGATGAGAAATATGGTAACGGGTTTGTAACTGCCACAGCAAAACAATTTGCCTCCATGCCTGAATCTTCTGTCTTGTGGCTTCAGAAAAAGCTTAAAAACTATTTTATTTACAAGCAAGTAATGTAAGAGAATGTTTTATACTTTAGCCACAATTCTTTCAAAGAAATAAAGTTAAAGTAAATTAAACTATTAAAAATTAATTGGAGATAATTTACTAGTAAAAGCTTCTAACTCTCCTTGTTGTTCATTTTTTTTTCCTTTTTTCTTCTTTGTTTGGATTGCAGCGTTCTGCTCTTCTGATGACGCGCTGTGACCCTGCAGTAGCGCAAAGGCTGCGCAGCGTTACCGCGCTATGCGTGCGAATGAACCCCTGTGAACGGTTGACTAGATGAGTAATCTGATCGACTGGCTCCCTCAGTCCTATTCTGTAGCCTTTTTGGATCAAATTGGGTTTTAGCCTCAGCACTGTGAGTCGAGCTGATCTCATTACCAACAAACACTCAATGCGGGCCTGTCTGGTAGATTAATGGATCTCGTTGGCCGTTTGCTGTGCCTAAGGGTGTTCTGCAGAGCGCAGCAGCAGTCGCAGCGATGGCGCGGCGCGATGCTGTTAGGAGGCGCTAGCGATGTTTGCGCTTGCATTACAGGGACCTCAACCCAGGTGCATTCCTGTCATTTGAGGTTTCAGCTTCAGTCCCCCTGGGTGTGGGCCAAGTCAGAGTAGAGCTTATGTAGCTGACTGGGGAAGAGGATGGCTCAGTGATTTGCATAAGGAGAATAGAGAAGGAAGCGTAAGCCCCTACTGCTCGATTTTGGTTTTGTGGAAAGTCTTTAGTACTGAGGAAAACGGGTTTCGTTTGGTGACCCCAGAAGAAGGTTTTCTATCCGTAATAAGCAGGCCCAGGTGTCAGGATGAGAACTGACAGCAAGTGAGAAGTCCAGCTCTAGACTGAGGCAACTGGCTTTCCAGGTGAGTTCCCAGCCTAAGGGTTTGTCCTTGTTTGGCAGAACTGAACATGGTGGTTTGCACTTGGGTTCTGGTTGGCGCGGGCGCAGGAGCAGCCAGCTGTGGCAGCGCAATTTAGTTTTGGCGCAAGCGAGCCTATGCTGCAGGGTCACTTTTGGCCGGTCAGAGAAGGAATACTGACATCAACTTTTTTTTTCCCCTTGATCTTTTTTTTTCTTTACAAATTTTCCCCTTTCCCTATACCTTTTCCCCTCCCATCTTTTTTCTTCTTTCATTAACCCTTCCAAGGCATGTTACTTGAAAGCAATTGAGACGCAACCAAACTTTGCAGTAGCTTGGAGTAATCTTGGCTGTGTTTTTAATGCCCAAGGGGAGATTTGGCTCGCAATTCATCATTTTGAAAAGGTAAGTCATTGAACTGGTAATTTATCAAGAATCTATGTGTGCAGAAAGCCTGACACTAATATGTTGTGTTAATATCTGTATACACTGACTGCATCAGCGTATAGATGTGGGATATGTGTAGTGCTTTTACACACACACACACGCATACATGTACATCTAGACCTATCCTACATCTGTGATGTAGTGATCCCTGGGTAGCATAAGGCAGATTTCACTCTCCAGTTAGAAACTCAGGTGATGATGGCAGCCATTCAAAGTAGCTCAGAATTGATTAATGAATCTGCTAGTGGGTCTGATTTTTGCATTGAGGAAGTAATTATCGGTCAGCGTGGCCTGTTTGTCCCCTTATCTACTTAATGACACTGTAATAGTCACAATTGAATACCTACCCCCCCCCCTTTGGGGGGTTCCTGATATCATTTGATCCTCATCATATACCTTCCTGTTGGCAGGAATTGTGACTCAGGGAGTTGATGTGATTCACTTAAGTTCTTAACAGTAATAGCTAGGATTTATATGGTCCTTTGAGGTTTGCAAATATTCTAATTTTATCCCCACAACCTTGAAGGTAGATGCTATTACTATACCACCTCCCCCCCCCCTTTTTTTTTTTAAACAGCTAAGGAAAATGAGGCAGACAAATTAAGTGACTTGCGCAAGGTCAGAGAGCGAGTAAGTATCTGAGGTCAGATTTGAACTCAGGGTCATATGGAATTGTCACTTAAATCAGTTGTCATACTCTGCTCAGAAACCCTTGGGTGCTATTATGATGAAGGCCAACTTCCTTAAGTTGGCATTTGTGGCCTTCTGTCATCTGGACTCATCTGGGCTTCCAATCCAGCCTTATCTCAAGGACTTCTTTACATACAGCCTGGCTTCTGGTACAGTGAAGTCTGGCTCTTCACTCTCCCTTCAAGGAGAAAGATCACCAGAACTTGATGCTATTGATGGTTTGTGACCTTGAGTCTACGCCTCTGGTCCTTCACCTATAATAGGATGTTTTGGACCATGAGCTTGTGGAGTTAGAGAACGTGGGTTCAAATCCTGCTTCTGATAACTTGTGGAACAGAAGCAAGTCACTGAACTTGGCTGTTTTTCAGCTTTTTCATCTTTAAAATGAGCATCTGCTCTCTCTGCCAGTTTAAGCTTTCTATCTATATTCAGGCTCAGTTCCTAGGCTACTTTTCATGAAAAACAGTTTTCCTTTTTTATCCTGAACTCTTAATCATTAAACAGTTTCAATATTAAAAAAAAAATCAAAGACATGAAGTTGTGAACTTCTATTAATGTGCAATTAAAACCTTTTTTTATTCTGAACCTAACATCAAATAAAATGAGCATTCATTTCTCCATTCAAAGTAGATTGTAAAAAGAATTGTACATGAAACTGTGAATGTCATAAGTGCAGCTTCCTTTTAAGTATATAATTATTTCAACAGGGAACTCTTCCTCCCCACAACATGGTACTTTAGAAGATGTCTTGCTTCTATGTTTCCTTCTGGCTTCTGTTATCTTCTGGGCATCTTTTTTTTTTTTTTAAAAAGTGCTTCAGTGATCCTGTTTTCTTTTTCTTTGGCAACTTATTGTTAGCCTTCCTCTATCCCTTCCAATTGGTAAACAAAACCAAACCCTTGTAAGTCAAGCAAAACAGATTCCCACGTTGGCTGTGTCTGAAAATGTCTGTCTCATGCTGAAGTCTGTCCATCCCGTCTGTGGCAGGAGGTGGGTGGGGAGCCTGCTTCAGGCCTCTGGTATCATGGCTGGGCATGGCGTTCATCAGCCTTCCTCAGACTTCCGGAGTTTGTTGTTATTGCATAAATACTTATGGTTCTGCTCCCCAGGACCCTGGAGCAGTTCATATAAGTCTTTCTGGATTTCTTTGAAACTGTCCCTTTTATCATTTCCTAAAGTGCAGTAAGAGCCCATTACCTTTGAATACCATAATTTGTTTAGCTGTGCCCAGGTAATGGGGACCCTCTTAATTTCCAGTCCTTTGCTGTAATAAAAAGAATTGCTATGAACAGATTATGTGAATGAATCTTTTTCTTATTTCTTTGCTCTCTTTGGAGCATGGCCCTATTAGTTGTATCCCTGGATACATAGTTGTTTTTTAAAAGCGTATATTAAATTTAATATTATGGTGACATAATTGCCCTATTCTGAATTATTTTGTGTACTTTTTAAATGTTTGGTTGAGGTACTTTATTTAATTTTTTAAAATTTGGCATCTGTCACTGTCTATCTCCTGTGCCCCCCCCCAAGCTCTCCTTTGTAACACATATAGGTGAGCAGTACAGACTGTGTCTGAAAATGTACAGCTCGTTCTGTTCTATACTTCTACCAAGAGGTGAAAACCATGCTCTCTCAGTCTTTGAAGCCATGATTCGAAAGTCTTTACTTTATGTGGTTATTCTATACATCTTTCTCTTAGTACTGCTCATTTCACTCTGTATTAGTTCATATGAATCTTCTAAGTGGCTTTTTAGAAGGCAGAGAGTAGTAGAATGTTGCTTGTACTAGGCCAAACAAAATTTTTTGAGGCGTTCTTTATTTAGGCAATTGATCATTTGAAAGCTAGTTTATGTTTTCTGAGCCAAAACTTGGGCTTGAAGATGATCTGGGTTTTTCTTGGTTATTTCCCCATCCAATTGAGTTAGGTGACCTCTTTAAACCTGTGGGGAGCATTTCATCCCACGTGTGCTACTTCTTTAAAAAAAATGTGGGGTAATGCTTTTTAGTTTTTATATACCAGGTTAAAAAAAAAATTAGGTCATGGCCTTCTCTCTCCCTCTTTCCCTCTCTCCCTCCTCTCTTTAAAAACTGATCAAGTGACTGAGTCAGATACCTGGGGATACTGTCACGCTCCAGATCTACAGGGTCTTCCCAAAAGATGACACTGTCTATACAGAGCTTGAAAGGACTGAAGAGGGTGTGGAGTTTAATGCCCTCATTTTTCAGGTGAGGAAACTGAGGCCCAGTGAGGTGAAGTGACTTGCCCAAGGTCCCACAGGGACTCAACCTGAGTTGAAATTTGAATCTGGTCCTCTGAGTGTGCTCTTTCAACTTTACCATACTGCCTTCTGGAGGCATTAAAATAAGTGGTCCCAAGCTTTGGCTTCACTCCAGGGCTAGAAAGACCATTGGGCATCAGGGCTTCTTACTCAGTGTGTCCAGTTGTGCTTAGGTATAGGGAATTACCTACCCAGATGTGCCCCCTTCCCCTCAACCTTAATTTGGCTTTTTCCCTTAGCTTTGGGAGTGACTCCTTTTGGTGACTGCTTTCCTATTTCCCTTGAAGTAGGGCTGTTTTATGTCCTCAAAGCAAAGCTGCCAAGTTGAACTATGAAATTTGTTAGAATAGTTTTCTTTTAAAGTAACAGTTGTACAGAATGTGTGTTGGAAGGGACCTCTGTGGCCATCTAGTCTGAAGACTACACCTGAAGAAGAGCCCCTTCAATACTACGGTATATCAAGCAGTGAGGGCAAAAATCACTGCCCTGACACTGTGTGTTCCACTTTGGATAGCTCTGATCTTCCAGCCAAACTTCCCTTTATCAGCTAAAATATGCTTCTTTGTAACTTCCAACTCTTGTTCTCAGTTCTTTCCCCTGTGGCCGCATAAGTCTAATCTTCTCGCTGGCCAGACTTTAGATTTCCCCAAGTACTTCATTTAGGACATTGTGAAGAGCAATACAGTAACTCCAGAAGTGTTAATTTTTACAAAACTGTAACAGATTTTCCAAACTCTAAATGTAGACCCAGCTTAGGACACTGAGGAATAATAGAGTAACTTTGGTAGTGGCTGTTGAAAATGGTTACAGTGTCTAAATACAAGCCCTAGAAAGCTGTTAATAGGGAGTCTTGTGATTACTCTGAAAGGATTAGTTAGAAATGAAATGAGAGAATCAGGGCATTAGTCTGTTACAAGCCTATACTTCAGTTCATGTTTGATGGGTGGAATTATGAGGAAGTTAGTGGTTGGTACTGTCCTGAGAGAAGGCTTTGGAGGGACTGGTCTCATTGTTAATTGTGAATTCATAGACTCAGTCTGAAGAGATCTCAGAAGGCACATATCCGTAGGAAGTGCTTAAGAAATACACATTTAATTGATATGCGACCAACTTGGAACAGAACCCCCTCATACTTTTAACGTCTGTCAAGTGTTTGGTCTGAGTCCGGATTTGAACTCGGGTCCTCCTGACTTCAGGGCCAGTGCTCTATCCACTGCGCCACCGAGCTGCCCCCAAGCAGAACAAACGTAATCTCTTACTTGATAGTCCTAGACTCCACTAAGTTTTCTTCATGTCGGCACCTGGCCCTTTATTCACCATTCTGGGGGTGGGGTGGGGGGTGGGTGTGTGGGTGTGTAAAAAAGATGGTACCCAGAGAGATTCAGGAAAGTGCTTCTGTTAAAGCTGGAGAATACATTAGCTTTTCTGGCTTCTGCACTATACTAACAGTCCAAAATCAACGACCTTTCTTTTTTTACATGAGTCTAATATCTGTTACATTTAAGTAGATTTATCTCATTATTTTAGTTTTCTGTTTTTAGATCTAACATGTTTTTAGCCCCTGATTTCATATCTTCCTCAAACTTGACAGGTATGCCATTTTGACCTTGAAGTCACTCACTTAGTAAAAATGCTGACAAGAATAAGACCAGAAATTAAAAGCTAAAAGACTCGGGTCCTCAGAGGCCTTCTATTTAGCACAACCCCTCTCTTTGTTATTTTTTCCTTTTTAAAAAAATTCTGAACTTAAAACACCCACTAAAATGAGTGCTTTTCATATACACAAGAGAAAAGAAAGAGAGTGGTACATGGCACTACTAATCTCTTATGTATGGCTTGCTTTTCTTTTTAAGTATGTGATGAGTTCTGCATGTTAAATTCCAAGCAGTCTTGTTTGTCCATGATTCTTTCCTGGCCATCTGTTTGGAGCAATTACAAAAACTTGCTTCAATGATCCTTTTTTTCTCTCTGTTCTTTTTCTCCCTGTCCCTTGCTCCCACCTCCCAACCCCCAAATTGAGGGAAAAGATAAATAAAACCTTTGTAACAATTATGCATAGTCAAGCAATAGAAATTCCTACATTGGCTGTATATTAAAATATATTTCATTCTACGTTTTGAGTTCCTCACCTCTTTGTGAAGAGATGAGTAGCATGCTTTATCATCTGTTCCCTGGGAAAGGGAGCCCTACAGATGTTCGGTGACTTGAACGGTGAATGTCATGGGATAGGATATTACTAGGCAGGATTTGAACTTGGGTCCTCTCCCTCTAGAACAGATTGAAGGTCAAGGGTATATGTGTGAGGCATTCTATTAAAGACCTTCCATCGAGGTTGTTTAAAGATCCATTCATCACTCTTTTGGTATGGTCATTGAACTATATTTGTTTAAGTATACTATTATTTAGCCCACATCCCTTTTTCTTATTTGCAACGATTGCTGAGGGATTTCTTAATTTAATATTTATTAATATTTAATAATTTAGTTAATCTCTTATCTGTGGTGTTCTCCTGATATACCAATCTGGTAATCCAGTCAAAGGAGGAAATCCTTTACAGATCTGAATCCTTACAGACAACTCCTTCAATAATTTGTTTCCAGGACTCCAATTGGCCTGTGGTTTTAGTAATGTACCCCTTTTTTTTTTTAAAGTAGTTCTACCTTCTCTCTGATGCTCATTGTAACCCCTTTCTCCCTAAGCATCATTCTTAACCCTTCTTTGATCATGCATTTTCAACCAATGTAGCTTTAAAAGTAATCTCCTTTGTTTTGCTGGTAGTATTCATTCCCACTTTGCTGCAGTTTAACTTTTCTGACAGTTGGCTTCTTTTGTATGTTTTTTAAAGATACTCCTCTTCTGACACTGAAATTGCTTCCAATTATTCTCCCCCTTGGTACCTTAACCAAGTCATTTGGAATGAATGCCATTAATTAATTAATTAACATTAATAGTTGCACTCCTTATCATAAGGAATGAAATAAAGGAGGAAAAAAATTACGTTGTTCCTTGGAACTTTGGTTTCTTCCTCATTAAAATGAGAACTGTAGACTACGTGGTTTACGTTTTCTTCTTGCTCTTAATATTCATTAATTTAGTAAAAAATACAACAAATGAAAGTATAATAATTTTATACATTTTAGCTCATAATTGAAGGTGTTATAGTTAACATTTGAGAAGTTCTTGCAAACACATTTTACCTAATTCCTGTAACATGGGGCGATATCCACTGTCTGAGTCTCTCTCTCATTTTTAGGCTGTGACACTGGACCCCAATTTTCTTGATGCGTACATCAATTTGGGAAATGTCCTGAAGGAGGCACGCATATTTGACAGGTGAGGGAATGTACTGTTAGAAACAAAATGTTTGTGTTTTCTTTGGGCTTACTTGCCAATATTTCACAAGCCTTTTATTTAGTTCATGAGTACTTTTCTTTTTCCAGGGGAATTTGTCAGTTATTTTGCTTGTTGGCCCTTATATAACACTACTCCTTCTCTGTAATTCACTCCACTCATAATATTAGCTTATGTTTACATAGTACTTAAAGGTTACATCATGTAGGAGCTTGGGGATGGCAGGAGAGCAATAATCCCAAACCTAGTACTCACTCTTGAAAAGATGGTTGGAAGCGAATAGTACCCTAAGTCTAAATGGACCAGGAGGCCTACGGCTTTTGAGGGCATAATGTCAAAACAATAGAAAAGAAAGAGGAAGGGCAATTCTGCACCATGAATACCTTAAATCTCAGTGCTAAGGAATCCAAGGGTGTCTTTTGTGTGACATAAGTATTCTTCCTTTCTTTTAATACCATGTTTTTTAAGGAGCCATTCTTTGTCGAGAAATAATTGTCTTTTCGTTTTGGATTAGTATGGATAAATATGTTCCCTTGTCTAAAGGGTTAGATAGTTTTTAAAGAAATTTCTTTACTTGGGAGGTAGTTTTATACTTTGCGATATTATTGATTTAGAGTTGATCTTGAAATTTTATCGACAGGGGTTGGTTGAAATTAAGCGAACTCTTCTTGTTTCCCGCAGCCCCCAATCACTGTGCCTTGCACTTAAATAGGTAGGATTGGCTGACTTGCCTGCAACTTATCTCTAGCAGAGAACTCAGATGGGATTTGTGTTACAGCAACATAACAGGGTGAGCCACTCTGCCCAAGCAGTGACTCCGTTGGGGAGGGCATCTGCACAGATAGGCTCCCCCTTTTAGCTGTACCTGTTAGTAAGGAAAAGACATATGGAGTGTGAAATATTTTGTATGTTAGACTGTGTGTGGAAAGTACATTCCTTCTAAGGTCAAAACCTTTTTGCCCAGTATATAATATATGTTATCTGGAGCAAGCTTTGCTGCTTTAGAATGAAGTTAAGCCTGTTTTTCATGTATTGGATGTTATAAATGTGCTTTTGTGTTTACAGAGCTGTAGCAGCCTACCTTCGAGCCCTGAGCCTGAGCCCTAATCATGCAGTGGTGCATGGCAACTTGGCGTGTGTATACTATGAACAAGGCCTCATAGACCTTGCAATAGACACCTACAGGCGTGCTATTGAGCTACAACCACATTTTCCAGATGCTTACTGCAACCTAGCCAACGCTTTGAAAGAAAAGGGCAGTGTAAGGAGAATTTTTTTTTCCTTTCTTTCTTAGCAAGCTGGTGGGCTCAAAAAAAGGAGCATGCTTTTTTATTAGTAGTGACTTGGAGGCAAAGGTAGAAAGCAAAACTAAATTTGTATTTTGGTAGGGGAAAATGAGGCAGACGTTCTCTAGGGGTGGACTAGGGAATGTCCTGTACTTGTTATATACCAATTCCTATTTCCTATCTTTTTCCTGGGAAGTTTCCCATGGTGAGGTGAAGGGATGGGTAGAATGATGGCAACAGGGGCAGAAGAGCATTTGAAAAGAAACTGATTCTGCAGCCATTTGACTTAAAAGTAGATAAGGACAGCAGCAACTCAGAGATTCATTGGCTTCTGAATGATCTCTCTTTCATTTTCTAGGTTGCTGAGGCAGAGGATTGTTATAATACAGCTCTCCGTCTTTGTCCCACCCATGCAGACTCTCTAAATAACTTGGCCAACATTAAACGAGAACAGGGGAATATTGAAGAAGCAGTTCGCCTGTATCGCAAAGCACTTGAAGTATGTTGATGGTGGGGCTCAGCAGCTAGAGTTTAGTTAGTCATAGGAGGTAGCTAGCACTGATAGAGCGCGTTAAGGTTTGCAAAACACTTTACAATTATTATCGTATTTTCTCCTCATAACAACCCTAGAAATGAATTTAGGGTTAGGGTCAGCGCCGACTCTTACCGTTTTACAGATGAAGAATCTGAAGTGACCTTGCCCAGGGTCACCCAGCTAGTGAGGGTCTGAGGTCCAATTTAAATTTGGTTCTTCCTGGACTCCAGGGCCAAGGTTTGTTCACTGTGGCGCCCCCTAGCGGCCACTCCTGCGAGAGAAGGGGCATCTCCTGGTGTATAGCTCTGTGCTGGGTCTTGTGTGGGAGACGAATAAGGATGTGATCCTGAAGGAGTGGCCGTTTTACTGGAGGGGCAAGATGTGCTGATAGAGTTGAGGAAGAGTGGAAGGAATTCAGTTGGGGTCCCCAACAAAGAGGAGGTGACCCCTGTGCAGGAACTGGGGGTCCTCTGTGTTGGAGGAATGGGTGGGGAAAGATGGTGGTGGTTAGTGAAAATGGTGAGGCAACAAAGCCATACTCAGACATTTGTGATGATTTTTTTCAAGGTGTTCCCAGAGTTTGCTGCTGCCCATTCAAATTTAGCAAGTGTATTACAACAGCAGGGAAAACTGCAGGAAGCCCTGATGCATTATAAGGAGGCAATTAGGTAAGGACTTAGAACCTAGAGTTCTGGTAAGAACCCCAGAGAAGCAGAGAGCATGAGAAATGTTTGCATCTGCAGACTGACCATATGTAACATATGGTGGGTTTGGGACAGCATGAAACATTCCAGTGGCTTCTAGCAGGAGGCCAGAGGGAATGAACATTTTAAGAGAGTAAAGATCTTTCAGTTCTTCTTTAAAAAGAAAAAGGATGATTTTGATTCTCTAACTCAGAATCAGCCCTACCTTTGCTGATGCTTATTCCAACATGGGAAACACTTTGAAGGAGATGCAGGATGTTCAGGGGGCCTTGCAGTGTTACACCCGGGCCATCCAGATCAACCCAGCCTTTGCTGATGCACACAGCAATCTGGCCTCCATTCACAAGGTAACTGTTAGGATAGTTTCTCTCTCGCTTTCTCTTTCCCTCTTTGTCTTTGTTTCTTTTTCTGTTTCTTCCTTCATTTTTTGGAGTTTTCCTGTTTTTTTCCCTTCTACTCATAGGATTCAGGTAACATTCCAGAAGCGATTGCTTCTTACCGAACAGCTCTGAAACTAAAGCCTGACTTTCCTGATGCTTACTGTAACTTGGCCCATTGCCTGCAGGTAAGGTGTGGGACCCGATTGGCTGAGTTTAAATATGCCTAGCCTGATGAGTCACTTCTGAAGAAGACACATCAAAAGTTAAATCCTGTGTTTGAGGTTAGGGAATTAACTTCTGTTTTTAACCTCCTTAGATTGTCTGTGACTGGACCGACTATGATGAACGGATGAAGAAATTAGTTAGTATTGTAGCTGACCAGCTGGAGAAGAATAGGTTACCTTCTGTGCACCCTCATCACAGCATGCTGTATCCTCTTTCTCATGGCTTTAGGAAGGCTATTGCTGAGAGACATGGGAACCTCTGCTTGGACAAGGTGTGGGGCCTTTTGAATATGGGTTTGCTTAGCTCTCAGCTTGGTTTGTGCTTGTTCACTGCATCTGTTCTTTTATAGTACTGTTTGATAGAATGCTGAAACAGTTTTGTTTGACTAGTTAATTTAAAGTGTTGGGGCAGTGAGGAGAAAATCCCCTTTTGCTTAAACCTGTGCCTCCCCACAGGAGTGTGGGTATCCTTTCATGGTAGTTTGAAACCCACTGGCATCGCTCCATTGCCTCCAGGGGCAGATTAGAGTGTCAGACACATAGCACAGTTTGAGGGTTTCGGGATCTTCCTGAACTGGCTTTGTAAATAAAATGTGAAGTATTTTGAAAAAAGTTTCCCAGCAGGTAAGACGGTATTGCATTCTTTCATATATGAAGTAAGGAATCTTTAGACTTGACCAGTATGTACTGGATTCCTTTGTTAGATTAATGTCCTTCACAAGCCACCGTATGAACATCCAAAAGACTTGAAAGTCAGTGAGGGTCGACTTCGTGTAGGATACGTGAGTTCTGACTTTGGAAACCATCCGACTTCCCATCTCATGCAGTCTATTCCAGGGATGCATAACTCGGATAAATTTGAGGTAAGCATCATGCCCATCTGTTAGGCATCAGGCATTAAGTGCTTCCTCTGTGTCAGCGAACTAAACCAAGATCCATCGATAGAGGTAAGGCAGCATGGATTTGGAGTCAGTGACGCGGGTTTGAATGACGCTTTTTCAAAACATAGACCTAGGGGCCCTTTGGTAATTCTAGGGCAGTATGGTAGATGCCAGAAGTGGAAATGTGCCTCAGCTGAGTGAGGATTTCAAATTTGCCAAAGATAACTGAGTAACTTTCTGCCCCTTGGTGCCTTATTCCTTTGCTCACAGGACCTGTGAAAGGAGAGTATGGTAACTAGCAGAAATTCAGAAGTGTTATGGTTTCTAACTTCTTGCTCAGGGCCACACTATTCTCTTTGATTGTCATTTAGAGTTAATATCTGGATTACTGTGTTACTCATATAATTGAATTGGGAAGTGGACAGTTACTTGGATAAAGGCACAGTTGGCTTTCTTTGGATGGCAGTCAGGATCCGAAAAGATCTTGACAAGTAAAGACTTGGGGTTGAATCTAAGGTGAAATTTATTTGGGGCGTATGTAAAGTTTCATTTAGCAGACTTTTTGAGCCCAAGTATGAGAGGGAAAGAGAAGGACCTATGGCCAGACAGGTCTTCCAAAAGATCTGGGGATTTTATTGGAATGTAACCATTTAAACACATAGTAATGTACTAAGCACTGGGGATACAGAAAGAAGCAAAAGACAGTCCTTACCCTCAAGGGGCTCACAGTCTAATGGGGAGACAACATGCAAACATATATATGAAGCAAGCTATAGATGGGAGAAACAGGAAGTAAGTACCAGAGGGAAGGCATTGGAATAAACAGGGATGGGGAAAGGCTTCCTGTAGAACATAGGATTTGAGTTGGGACTTAAAGGAGGCCAGGGAGGTCAGTAGTCAGAGCAGAGGAGGGAGAATGTTCCAGTCTGGGCAGGGGTAAGGTAATGAGATGCAATCTGGCCTCAGAAACTTACTAGCAAGTCATTTAATCCTGTTTGCCTCAGTTTCTTCCTCTGTAAAATGAGCTGGAGAAGGAAATGGTGAACCACTCCAGTATCTTTGCCAAGAAAACCCCCAGAGGAGTCATGAAGAATCGGACATGACTGAAACGATTGAGTGAGATGTGTTTGAAGCAACATAAGTCTAAGTTGTGTCTGCTTTTTTAGGGCATTGCTAACATATTGGGCTTGATTTCCAGGTGTTCTGTTACGCCCTTAGCCCAGATGATGGCACAAACTTTCGTGTGAAGGTGATGGCGGAAGCAAATCATTTCATTGACCTTTCTCAGGTGAGCCTCTCCAGTAGGTAGTCTCAGACAAGGTTGCAGTGGGATTAGTAGACAATTTGTATGTCTGCATATGGTATTAAATACTCATAAAAAGCATGGAGAGGAATTAGCTTTTGATCTGTGAGTTTCTTGCTCACCTTAATTCTCGATAACCATGGAGGCAAGGTTGGTTTTATTTGTACTTGAGCAGCTATTTGCCCATATCTAGAGAATAAAAAAGTCATAACACCAGTGGAATAGAATGGTGCCTTGGGGGAGTGGTGAGTGAAACACCTTGGGACCCACATCCATTGTGATTTTGACTTCTCTCCTGGCCTCCCTTATCTCCTGCCCTGTTTTTAGCTTTTCTCTTGCTACCAACCATGGCGTGAGGTTGGGACAAGTACGTGGTAAGTTAAGGACTGAATTGCTGAGGATGAAGATTTGTTTTTCCTGGTTCCTGGAATCTGTTATTCATGCTGGCATATTTCCTTGTTAGTCATCAGATGTGAGAAATGGGAATTGATGAAGTTGAAAGGGTTGGGCTATCTGGCCTCTAGGGACCCTCCTCTTCCCAGTTTGGGGTGCTGTGAAGTCATAGGGCTTGCTATTCAGGTTCATGGGAAGTTTTCCCCATGATTTCTTGGTTAGTGGTTCTCCAGTGTTACAAACCTTCATGAGAAGCTTTGAATTCTTTGCATTTTACACTTTGAATGTAAAAGTGTTCTGCACTTGATATGACTCTTCATCACTCTTCAGATTCCGTGTAATGGGAAAGCAGCAGATAGAATTCATCAGGATGGGATCCACATCCTTGTGAATATGAACGGCTACACCAAGGGTGCACGCAATGAACTCTTTGCTCTGAGACCAGCTCCTATTCAGGTAGTATTAAATGGTGATCATTGCCCAGAAAATGTTCATATTCTGTGAAGTCGATGTCAAAACACTTGCTCTCTAGCACCCGCTATTCCAGGCCAATTAAATGGGCAGGTTATTTTGACTAAAAGGCCAACATCTCTGTGTGCAGGGACTATGAATTTATTTAAAAAGCAAACACTACTCTGGCCATTGTATTCTCCATGGGAGTGGATGGGGAGGAGCCTTCAGAGTCAATGTTTTTTGTCTATGTCCTCTTTTTTTTTTTTTTTTTTTTTTTTTTGCTTTTTGGTGAGGCAGTTGGGGTTAAGTGACTTGCCCAGTGTCACACAGCTAGTAAGTGTTAAGTGTCTGAGGCTGGATTTGAATTCAGGTCCTCCTGACTCCAAGGCCAGAGCTCTATTCACTGCATCACCTAGCTGCCCCGTCGTCTATGTCCTCTTGCTGAATTCTTGGTATAGTGTGTTTGTTTTATTGGGACCTTTTCAGAATCCTGTTTTTAATGCATAATTGTTTTGATTGGATTTTTTTGTAGGCAATGTGGCTGGGATACCCTGGGACTAGTGGTGCACTTTTCATGGATTATATTATCACAGATCAGGAAACTTCGCCAGCCGAGGTTGCTGAGCAGTACTCGGAGAAATTGGCTTATATGCCCAACACTTTCTTTATTGGTGATCATGCCAACATGTTTCCTCACCTGAAGGTTTGTAGAGAACACAGGGGTCTGGGAAATACCCAGCAACTCAGTCTTCTGTTTCAGTTTGGGTGAAATGGAAAGAAACGCTCTTGTGCATTTACTTTAATGAAACCTCTTTTTCCCCCCACCAGAAAAAAGCAGTCATCGATTTCAAATCCAACGGACACATTTATGACAACCGGATTGTCCTGAATGGCATTGACCTCAAGGCATTTCTTGATAGTCTACCCGATGTCAAAATTGTGAAGGTGAGAGAGTCTGAGTATCCAAAAGTGGAGTTGACTGTACTGGGGGTTTCTTCCCTACTCTATGCTCTGTGAACCTCCAAGAGCTCTACCATTGATGAGCTCACTCCTCATTATCATTGTCTTGTCATCATTAGATGAAGTGCCCTGATGGAGGAGACAATGCAGACAGCAATGCAGCTCTCAGCATGCCTGTTATTCCTATGAATACGATTGCAGAAGCTGTGATTGAAATGATTAACAGAGGACAAATTCAGATAACAATCAATGGATTCAATATTAGCAATGGACTAGCAACCACTCAGGTGAGGCCTGGCAGACTCCTGTTTTCAGAGCATTTCTTGTCAATTCATTCAAAAATCCCGCACATGTGTAGAAGGGTTGACTACTCAGAAGAGAGTCTGTGATGTAATAGGAAGACTCAGAGCAGGCACATCAGAGTTGTGTAGCAGTGCTGTGCAAGGTAGGTTAGGAGAATGGATGAGCCAGACCACAGGTGTGAACCGTGCCCCCCCAATTGAGGGAAGAGGAAGGACTTTAACTGGACCTCAGAAGATAGGTTGGATTTAGGTATAAGAAGTTTCAGGATGGGCGAGAAAATGGGTTAGACAGACTGACTGGGCTGGAACAGGAATGTACTTTTGGGGAAATAGTGAGGTTTGAAGTTGGTTTGGGGAGGTGAGACCTTAGAAGCCTCATGGTAGTTTTGGCTTTACCCTGTAAGCTGTGGCCAAGTTGGAGAGGTGGGGGCCTTGGTTTTCATTTCTTTCTCATGTTGCTCCTTCTAGCAGTGATGAGATACCCCTTAGCTCTGGGGAGGAGTCAGGGAATTGGCTTCTCTCTCCCTTCTTCGTGGAGGGAAGCAGACCAAATGTGTGCTGCTCAATGGGGCATTCTTGGTCATTGGTGGAATCAGTTGGAAGAGAGCCACCCAGTCTCTGTTGTTCATTGAAATGTTAATTCTTTCCCAGATGGCCTGGGCCTCTCTTGCATTCATTTCTCTTCTGGTCTCTTCAATCCCAGTTCCTGGTCGTCTGTGTGCCTGCTGTGCCCTTTATCTTCTTTGAGGCAAAAAACTACAAATGAACCTAAACAGCAAAGGGCACGAGAGCACCAGCTGTCTGGGTCCTGGCAGAACTTTGCCTTTGATTCCATGCGACCTTTGTCGTTTCTTGGTCAGTTTTAACTAGCCTTAGTGGAACATCAGTAGAGTTGGCTGTTTGCCTGGTGAGATTGGGACGTGCGGGGTGCTTAGGGCCTGGGTCTGCGGCTCCAGGCCTTCTCAGAGTGCCCAGTCGAGCTCCCTCCTCTCTTTCTGAGTCATGACCAGGGTTACAGCCTTGGAATCTTAGACTGGTTTTTGAAGTTTTGGTGGATAAGTTTATTTTTGTTGCAGATCAACAACAAGGCTGCAACAGGAGAGGAGGTTCCCAGGACCATCATTGTCACCACTCGCTCTCAGTATGGGCTACCGGAGGACGCCATTGTGTACTGTAACTTTAACCAGCTGTATAAAATTGACCCTTCCACCTTGCAGATGTGGGCAAACGTGAGTATGTACAGCGGCTTTGTTTGGTTAACTTGGTCAGAGCATCAGGTCGTCAGACAAGCAGACCAGCCTTCCCTGTCGCCAGCAGCACCCCTTCAGCCCAGGACTGACCGTTTACTTACTCCTGTTTTTTGCTTTTCCCAGACAGTCTAGGCTCTTGAATGATTTTTAGGATTACCGTGGTTATGTGTTTTTGAGTATGGGAGTGGGAAGCAGATCAGAAAGAGTAGAATCTGATCAAATTAAGCCTTTGCTTGCTTAGGATGGTTTGTTTCGTAAGTTTCCTAGTGCAGAATGTGAAGTTTGATATGGGAAATGCGTGCTTCTTTGGGGAAAACTGCTATTAACGCTGACAACCTCCAGCCTGCCTTGATGTTGTCTTCTGACAAAAATCCCTCAAAGTGCTTATGAAACAGCTGAGAAGAGCAAGGCTAGAGTGGGAGGAGGAAAGACTGACTGACAGGAAGCTGCTGTTTAGATGAGAAGAATAAGCTCTTGTCTCTTCAGGAGCTCCTTTTGGGGGGAGCAAGGGAAGAAGGAAGCCCAATCCAAGGACCTTCTCCAGGCCTACAAGGAAATTGGCACATTGTGTTTATTGATGTGGCATGGGCAGAAACCTATTTTGCCACTGTCTAAAATGGAAAATTGGTTGCCTTTTCTTTGTCCCGATAGCTTTTCTTTGTCCCTTCTTAGCAACTGAAGATAGCAGAAAGTAGTGCTTCTTGGGGATGAGGCAGTAAAACAAAGGTTACTTTTGCTGTCCTGGTTTACAGATTCTGAAGCGGGTTCCCAATAGTGTGCTGTGGCTGTTGCGTTTCCCAGCTGTAGGAGAACCCAATATTCAGCAGTATGCACAGAACATGGGCCTTCCCCAGAATCGGATCATCTTTTCTCCAGTTGCTCCCAAGGAGGAGCATGTGAGGCGAGGTCAGCTAGCTGACGTCTGCCTAGATACGCCACTCTGTAATGGGCACACCACTGGCATGGACGTGCTGTGGGCAGGGACCCCCATGGTGACTATGCCAGGTAAGCCTCCCCCTCTGCTTGGCTTTGTTTGGGAGATGGTCCTGACAGATGAGAGTTTTGAATGTATTTTATTAAGATGGTCTGCTGTCTCCTTCATTCATCTTCTTATCAAGGATGATTAAGCTTCCAAGTTCTACTTAAGTAGGAGATTTTCTGCAAGAAGCATAAAGTGTTGCCGTTCCCATTACAGGAGAGACTCTTGCTTCTCGGGTTGCTGCTTCCCAGCTCACTTGCCTTGGTTGCCTTGAGCTTATTGCAAAAAATAGGCAAGAGTATGAAGATATTGCTGTGAAATTGGGCACTGATCTAGAATAGTAAGTAACTTTTTTCATGGCTAAAGTAACATTATAAAGTGGAGGGAATAAAGAATTTACAGATTGTCATAAAAGTTTGGGATTACGCTAAGCCATTTAACATGTCTCTGAAAAAAATGTAAGTGACAGAAGTTTGGTTTTTAGTATAACCTGTTGTGCTACCATCCTACAAATTCTAATTGACAGAGGGCTTTCTCTCCCTGCCCCCTTCCCCCCTCAAAAAAAACCCCCAAAACATTTCAAAGATAGTAGTTGGGTGAAATAAAGAAAGTGGTCTCTTGGCTGTACGATTTTTTGGGGAAAGGAGCAAAGTCAATAAATCTTGTTTCAAGTGGTTGGGGGTGAAGCAGGATTTTAAGCTTTGTCCCTGACACTGTTCCGCAGTGAGGCTATATAGGAGGCAGACCAGAGAAGAGAGAACTGTATGAAACGAGAAAGAAGCAGATGCTCAGTATTTGATTTAAAAAGTGTACCCTAGTTGTGATGTCCAATTGTGGTTTTTCTCTGTTTTGATTTTATTATCTCTTCCTCTTTTCCCTTCTCTCTCTTTTTCTCTCCTTTGTCTATTTCTTTCTATTTTTCACCCAGTCTGAAGAAAATCCGTGGTAAAGTCTGGAAGCAAAGAATATCCAGCCCCCTTTTCAACACCAAACAGTACACAATGGAACTTGAACGCCTTTACCTTCAAATGTGGGATCACTATGCAGCTGGAAACAAACCAGACCACATGATTAAGCCGGTCGAGGCCACAGAGTCGGCATAAAAGATTCTGTACACATAGGAGAATTATCCCAAGACATGAGCCTCTCAAGCCTCTGTTGCAAAGGAAAAGGGAACTAGAGACCCCTGCATTTCTACATATCTGCTCAATGCCATGTGACATACACAATGGTAATAAAATAGCACAGCAAGACCTACTTCCTGCACACTAGGGAGAGACAGTAGAGATGGGGAACTGCTGTCCCACAAGGAATCTGCACACAGGTGTTGTGTAGGTATGGAAGCCATGATTGAATGGGATGCTTGGTAGGGGAGAGAGAGATTGCCCAGCCACTTGCAATTCTATGGATTGATTGAATCTTCTGTGAATTATTTTTTCTTTATTATACTGGGGATTGGAGCTTTTAAAATGTTTAATTTCAGGTGTTCCCATTGGCGTGTGTGGTTCTCTTCCCAGGATTTGGTTTCCAGCAAAAATGTTGTTCCTTGCTCCATCAGTGACGTTTCAGCTTTTGAGCCACAGATTGAGAGGGCATCTTTGCTGGTGTAGGCTTTTTATAGGTTTTATAAACCGCTTGAGTCTATGTCAGCCTTGTAACGTCTGACCTGTGGATCGGAGCTGTTTGTGCTGTTGGTTTTGGTGATGACTTTTTGTTCTGTATTTTTGTTTTGTCCCCCCAGTCGTCCTCCACTTACTGGTTTTTATTTAAAAAAGCAAACAAGCAAAAAACAAACGAAACCCCCTCCTCAGACTCACCTAATTGGCTTCTTTGGCAGGGAAACCAGACTTAGGATATCACACAGATATTCCCAAATGCCAGTTTTGCCAAAGTGATTATTAATTATGTAAAGGCACAGTCATGGTACTGTTGCAGAGAATAAATCATTTTTGTTTTCCAAGTTTTGGCCCCTTCCCAGCGTTTACTGTTGTCAGAGAGTGATAGTGTGCGCAACTTCTTGGCTCCATTTGGATGGTTTGGATTTTTCTTGAAATTTTCCTTGTTCTTCCTATTTCTTTTAGCAGAAATGAAAGCCCAGGTAAGTATTCAGTCATTTCATTCAGTAAGTCGTGATTGCCTCCAAACATTCAGTCAATTTCATTCAGAAACAGTGTCGTTTGAGAAGCTCTGCAGGCCTACTGCAGAACGTTCAAAGGCATTGCATCCAAACGGTCTTTCCATCTGGACCTTCAAGTATGTGATGTACAGCTTTTGCCTCAATAGTGGCTTGACTGCATTGCTACTTGAATTATGAATAAGACCTCAGCCCTGCTGGTGCTGGAGTGTCTTCTGTGAAACCACAGGAATAGAAGTATTCCAGAATTTCAACAAAGGGCTTTAAGTTTAAAACAAGCCGACATATGAGTGTGTATTGTGTCTAGCTGTTCTGTTCTTACTGCTACTCGGTAAGAAGTATTTGTCTGCTAGCAGTGCTGCTTGTAGGTGACCATTTGTGGCTGAGGCCCTGGGTTTGCTTCACCTGTTTAGTAGCAGCTGATGCTGTGACTGGCTCCTAGCTGACAAATTCTTGATAAGTCACTGTCAGACGCTTTGGGCTTCTGACAAAAGGTTACCACTGATCCAAATCTGAGCAGGAACCCTCAGATGGAATTCTGGAAGCAGAATTCCTTAGGTGTGAACTGCTCCTTTCAGCAGTTTGGGAACTCCTTAATTTATTTTTCACCTTTTCCAACCAGTAAAGGATGTTGGAGCATTTCCATGAATGATGTTTTCAGTTCACAGATTGCCGAAAATGGATTAGAATCAAAACTGTACCTTTCTGATGCCCTCGAGGCTGTGAGCTCCAGCCATTTCACATAGCACATCACTCGTGCATTGGAGGAATTTTTTTCCTGGTGTGGAAAGTATCTGCTGTGGTTGAAGCTTTGCTTAATGTAACAAACAGGTTTTGTTTCCAGGTAACGTGTCTGACGAAGACTTAATTCTGAATAGAAACATAGGTATTACTGGAAACTTAATTGTCTTTTCTATTGTATTCTGCTTTATCGAAAACAGTAAAATATTTAAATTGTGCTACAGAAATACAAATATTGTCTTGCAGTCTTTAAACAATAAACAGAAACATTTTCCTCTGAAGTTAAAAGTGAATGTCCTGTGTCATATGTTAAATGCTAGCTGTGTACAGAGTTTCAGAAGTAATTTCTTTTGTTTTAGAGAGTGATATGTTAGTCTGGAGCACAGCAACAGGGGGTGGTGTGGGCCTTCTTGACTCTCTGGCAGAGTTGTTGGTGTTTTTTTTTTTAAAGTATGACTTAGCTATCCTGTCTCCTGCTCATGCTAAGACAGCTGATGTATTAAGTGAGGAGATAGGTTTTATCCCACAGTCAGTATGATCCTCTGGTTTGGACTCTCATTTACCTCCATTCCAGCTGTGATGACAGTGATGAGGATGAGGATGACGATAGCAGCTAAGGTAGGTTTGCAAAGCACTTTACCAATACTGTCATGTGCTCTTCACAACAATCCTGGGTGCTTGGTGCTGTTATCCCAATTTTACTGATTGATAAAGGAAACAGGCATTTCAGAGGTGAAGTGACTTGTCCAGGGTCACAAAGCTAGTAAGTGCCTGAGGCTAGATTTGAATTCAGCTCGTCTCCACTCCACTGTGCCACTTGCTTTTCGTTTGGATAAGTGTACCTTTTTTTTCCCCCTACCTCATTCTTAGGTTAATTATACTCTTTTTTTTCTCCTGGCTTATTTTGTAGGCCAAAGCTTAGTTCTATTTTCCTGCTAAAGATGAGGAAACCTTGTAACTACAAGTTTCAGCTCGGCCAATAAATTTTTATTAAGCACCAGCACGTGCCAGGCACTGTGCTAAAATGAAAACAGTCCCTGCTCTCGAGGAGCTTCTAATCTAAGGGGAGGAGGGGAAGACAACAAGTAAAGGGAAGGTACCTGGCCTTCGGGGAGGGGCGTGATGAAGTCCAAAAGCAGCGTAGCTGGTGGTAAATTGGGAGCTTAACTGGCTAATGCTCTAGACCATCACACCTGGCTTATCTGGAGTGTAGGGTTAGGGGGACTGTTTTTTACTCTATCCTCCCAAAAAAAAACCCACCCCAAAACTATTAGTATAGTGCAGATTATAGAAATTATAATTTGTATTTCTGGGCTTTAGTGTAGACAATTTCAGAGTTGGAGTGGCCAAAAAATTATCTACCTGTAATCAAATGGTATAAGTATTCTAGTGTTTTTAGGTTTACCTGAATACATAGCCAGCAAGTTGCCTTTGTGTGGTCCAGGTATCCCCATTGTCATTTGGTCGTGGTTGAGGGAGGGGTTGGATTTCATTGAGAAGGGACTAGCTACAGGTGTTACTTTGCTGCTACAACTCATATCTTGGGGGTAATGAAGGAGAGGGTGGAGATATACTCTAACAGAGGCAGTGAACATTGCCTACTATGCCCATGGTTTGGGCAGCTTAGGTGGCACTCAGGAGGACTCCTTGGACTCATCTTCCCTAGTTAAAATCTGGCCTCAGACACTAGTCATGTAATGCTGGACAAGTCACTTCACCCTGTTTGCCTCAGTTTTCTTCATCTGTAAAATGAGCTGGAGATGAAAATGCCAAGAAAGCCCCAGATGAGGCCATGAAGAGTCGACTCAACAGCGCCAAAGCCCCGGGCTAAGTGACAAAAGGCAGTCCCTGCCCTCAAAGAACTCACGATCTAACATCTAACAATCAGCTTCTGAAAGCCTCCCTGAGGACATCCATAACTCTTAAAAATTTGCTGAGAAAGGGAAAGTGGGAATAGTTGAAACATCACACTTCACACCTATGTTGGGGAGAGTGGGGTTGGAGTAGGGAGTAGGCTTAGTAAAAGAAACCTAGCCCTAAGGCATGTCACTGGGGCAGTTCATGACCACACTAAAGGCCTTAACTTCCAGGTCTTTAGTGACCAGTCTGCGCTGTGTGCCTCACTGAACAAATGTCCCTTACTGAAAAATTTCTTGATCTGCTGTGCTCTGATTTCCTGCTAGGCAAATCAGCTTCCTTTTGGACCACTCAGCACACTGCCATTCTTGGGAGGGAGTTGTGTGTTATCCTATTAGTAAAAATATATCAGCAGAGTTTCCAGCAGACAGCTGCCAAAGCCTGGCTCTTGAATTTTTCATCTCTAGCGGTAGAGGGGAGTAAAGGCAGCAACAGCTCTTTGTAGCATTTGCAAAGCGTGCTTCTAGATTCTGCTTTTTTGTAAGCAGTTTCTCTCTTGGCCCGTGGCTTCTTTCCCTTGCTTCTGGCACATGCACTCATTTATTTTCATCTGATCGTCTGGCTGCTAATGTCTCAAGTTGGGACCTGTTCGTGAGCAGTGATCTATTTGTACCTCAGCTTGGAAAATACAGACCAAAAGCACAATTCTAGCAGGTGTTAGAGCCAATGTACCAGTTTTCCCATAGCTCACGAACTGTGATTTATATATAGTTTTTCTGGTCTGCTGGTCTGATCCCTGAAGCCACATTTAAATGAGCTGATGGACAGCAATGCCTGGAGGCCACGTTCTCCTCAGCATTTTGAGTTTTGTTTGTTCTGGAGTTCACTTGATCAGTGTTTCACACAGATGCCTTTTCTGCCTTTCAGCAACCCAAACGGTCACAGAACAAAGGCCCAGCACTTTAACAAATACGAATTTTTTGCCCTGCCTTTGCATCCTTTAAGAATAGTTGCTGTCCTAACTTAATGAGGCATTGGAGGAGGCAAAAATCAGTCTATGAAAGTGGAGCTAAGGGAGTTCACTGAGACATTAAATGGAATTTCATATTGGTAACTGTACAAGCAGATGGTATAATCTAAACAAAAGGCCTTTTTTTTTTTTGGTAGGGAGAGATGACAGCAGCAGTGCTAGTGGAAAACAGTAGACTCTCATTCGAAGCACCCACACATCTACCATAATAGGAGAAAAGCTGTAGGGTTTGTAAAGCATTTTATTTAATTCTTTTGAGTCTGGAAACTTGGTAAGTAAATCAATCTTCCTGGGCTGTTTACTCATCTGTAAAATGAAGGAATTGTACTTTCGGCGCTAAAGCTGTGATTTCTACGGTATTCTGGATAGTCCCTTTTAACGGACAGAGAGGAAGTGACAAACTAGGAGAAGGCTCACTTGAAATGTTAATGCTCCCCATGAACTACTGGCCGAGGTAATATTCAAACTGATTTTTTCCGGTCGTCTCTTTCCACTGTCGGCTGCCTTCAGTTTCACTTTCGCTTTTAGTAACTAACCATAGCCTTTCTCTGCGTACTTCTCTCGGTGGCCTTGACCAGTTACTCTGCAGGACTCTAATGAGAGGCTCTCTAATGAGATTTATTCCACTTAGGTCCCCCCGCCCCCGTCCCCGGGGTCTCATAGAATGCTTCCCCTCCCCGCCCTTGTTTCCACTCTGCTCTGCTGTTCCCGCCCCCCTTCCCCCTTCTCCCACAATTCCTCGCTCTAGGGTTGTGGTTGAGGGGACAGCTGGCCCCCTTCTGCCCCTAGGAGAAGGCAGGGGCTGCCTGCTATAGTCTCCGGCGCTTGGGTGCTGGTTGCATTGGCTCGAACGGAAGTGGAAGGGGCAGTGGGCACTAGGGGAGGCGGAAACTCGGGTTGAGTGCTAGGCCCTTCCTCCCGGGTCCTGGGACGTAGAGGGAGGAGAGTGAGGCCCAGAGAAAAGGGGGCGGGGGCAGGGAGCCGGCGGAATTAAGATCCGGTGAGGCACCGGAAGTGGGACTAGGCCGAGCCGGAAGCGCCTCCGGCAGTGGCGCGAGCGTCGGCTTGCGCCAAATTTGAAACGGCCGCCCGCGGTGGCGGCGGCTCCAGCAGCTCCGGCAGCTCAGGAGGAGCACTGGAAGTGGGGCTGGGCCGAGCCGGTAGCTCTGCCGGAAGAGGCACGAGCCTGGCGCCCGCGCCAAATTCGAAGGGGCCGCCCGCTCAGGAAACGGAGCACCGGAAGTGGGGGTGGGTCGAGCCGGCAGCGCTGCCGGAAGTGGCACGAGCCCGGCGCCCGCGCCAAATTCGAAAGGGCCGCCCTCTCAGGAAACGGAGCACCGGAAGTGGGGGTGGGTCGAGCCGGCAGCGCTGCCGGAAGTGGCGTGAGCCCCGCGCTCGCGCAAAATTCGAATAGTCGCACGCGCGGTGGTTGAGGAGACGGCCGTTGGCGAATTCCTTCCCGAGGCAGACAGCGGCCGCTCCTCGGGGTCTGGGTGGACGCCGTTCGCCGGGCCATGGCGCGGGTCTTGGGACCAGGGGCCGAGACAGCCGAGCGAGGTAAGAAGGGAGGCGGAGGCGGTCCCTCCTTCTGGCTTCGTGGGGCGGGCCTGGCCTGGCTGGGGGAGGAGGGACAGAAGGACGAGAAAGCGGGAAAGGGCTGGAGTGGGAGGGGAAAAGGGGGCGAAGGCCGTGGCTGATAGGGAGGAATGCTACGGGTTGAGTGGGGCAAGGAGGGAGGTTCCCGGGTGGGGGGAAAGAGGGGCGGAGGGACGCGGTTGCCTAGCGACGCGGTTGCCTAGCGACGGCGTCCTCCCCCCTCTGCCTCGGGGGTCGGCCGGATCCTTGCCAAGCCTGGGCCGGGAGTTCACTTTTGAGCTTGGGACCTCTCGCTTTTGCGCCTCCTTAGTCTCGCAATCCTTCGTCCCTCCATAGCAAACCAATCAGTGAGTAAACATTTGTAAAGTGCCCACTGTGCGGCGCACAGTGCTAAGCGTCGGGGATACGGAAAGAGACAAAAGGACAGGCTTTAATTCTCGAGGACTTGCAAACAAAGTTGTAGACAGATAAATTGAGATAATCAAGCGAGAGGGGGCGTTAGGGGATCAGGAAAGGCTTCCGGTGGAAGGGCAGAATCTAGCTCCAACTTGAAGGAAGCCAGGAGGTGGAGATGAGAAGGGAGAGGCAGCTGGAACTGGGTGGAAGACTTGGGGGCGGGGGGGGGGGTAGTGAGAAACGAAGGGAAAAACGGAAAAAAGCAATCCAGTAACTCCACGGAGCCTGACTTTTGAGGGTACCATTAAGCTCAGTTGTATGCCCTTCGTTGGTTTATAGGGAGGAAGGCGTGGTGGTGGGGAAACGGAATCTAACCATTTGTATTTGTGTGTCTAGACATAGTTTTCTTTTTTCAAACAATTTTTTTTTGCAAATAGTAATTTTTCCCAATTACATGTAAAGATAGTTTTCGACGTTCACTTTTTATAAGGTTTATAAGGCTTCTTATGCTAAAGGCTCCGACATCAGAACCCCCTCCTTCTGGGAAGGAGCAGTTATTATCCCTGCCATTGCCCCCTGAGCACCAGTCAGCCACCTGCATTTCCCATTAGTGGTTGGAATGTAATCTCACTTAAAGGGGCTTTTTGAGCTATCTTCACGAGAGGAGAGTTCATTTGCTCAGGGTCATAAAGCCAGCAAAAGATGGGCTGCTCCCATCTGAACATTCTGTTCTATTATGTATATAATATGTATAATTCATGTGTGTGTAGACACATATACACATACACACATATAATATAACAAAAGGAGAGACTTGTACCTGAAACCATGACTCTTCTGGAGCTTGCTTTTTAAGTAGATAAGTTGACCCTGTAACTTTTAAATCTGTCCTCGTCATTGTTTCCTTTTGGTTTTCAGGTTTGGTTTTGTTTTTGTTGGGGGGGGCACACCTATATCTCCTTTCCCCTTCTTTGGGGAAAACAAAACAAAAAGCCCTTATAACAAAATTGCAAAGTCAAACAAAGCAAATTCCTACATTGGCCATGTGGGAAAATGTATATCTCATTTAGTACCTTGAGTCCACCACCAAATTTAATTTTGGGGGTGGGGTGGGGAGGGGAGCATGCTTCCTCACTGGTTCTCTGGAATCTTCTGCTGGACTGCTTCACTGATTCTTAATTCCTTCAGAGTAATTTGTCATCATAAGTTTATTATCATGGTATAAATTGTTCTCCTATTTCTGCTCACGTCACTCTGCCATCAGTTGATGCAAGTTTTTCCAGGTTTGGCCGTTTCTCAGGTTGTAATAATATCGCGTTCCATTTATGTACCATACATTGTTCACGCTATTCTCTAGTAGTATAGTTAGCAATACAGAAAGAGTTGTCTGTACTTATGGGTCCTCTTTCTTTGATCTTTTTGTGGTCTAGACCTAGTAATGGCTACTGGGTCAAAGTGTATGCCCAGCTTAGTGACTTTATGGGCGTGGTTCCAAATTGCTTTCCAGAATGACTGGACCAATTCACAGCTCTACTAATAGTTTTTTGCTGCAGCCCCTCCCTTTTTTGTCCTCTTTGCTAATATGATGAATATGTGGTAGATATTAAAGTTGCTTTAATTTGTACTCTAATAATTAGTGATTTGGGTCATTTTTTCATACAGCTGTTGATAGCTTGAATGTCTTCCTTTGAGAGTTGCCTGTTTATATCCTTTGACCATTTGTCAGTTGGGGAATGGTTCTTGTTCTTATAAACTTGAATCAGTTCCTTACATATCTTGGTTAAGAGACTTTTATCAGACAAACATGTTCCAAAGGTATTTTCCCCAAATAACCTTTTCCCTCATAATTTTAACTACATTGATTTTACTTCTGCATAAACTTCTAAATTTATGTAATCAAGATTGTTAATTTTATTGTCTTTAATCTTCTTTTCCCCTTATAACAAAAGGTGTTTTCTTTGTAGTTTTTTTGGTGTGTGATATGACTTTTTATATCTGTCATGCATCTATTTAGAGTTTATCTTGCTGTATGGCATGCGATGTTGGTCTGTAACTAATTTCTTCCAGACTTTTTCCAGTTTTCCCAGCAATATTTGTTGAATAGTGAGTCCAGCATGTCAAGGGAGGGGAGATGGTAGATAGCCACTTTCTCGTGGCTCATACAGGTGACAGTCACTTGAGCAGGAGAAAGTGTGTCCCAGAAGTTTCTATTTATATGAATGACTTTGCCAATTTTTAGATGAGTAGGGATTATGAATGTAGTAGGATTGGGATATGACAGGGAGGTCCCCAGTGAGGAGGTGTCCTGAGGCAGCTATGGCTATTTTGCCCTTCCTTGTTCCCCATGCCTTTCCATCACCACCTAAAACAAGGTGTTTTTTCTACAGACATGAGCACTGATGAGGAGGGACAAGAAGAACAGAACCAGAAGAAGAAAAAGAAGAAGACCCGGTAAGGAGACATTAGGAAGCCCTGTTTCCTGTTCTGCTCGTGTCTGTGGTTTGGCTTACTTTTTAGAACTAGTCGAACAGTTACTTCCCCTAAGAAGAAGGGAAGAATAACAAGGAGTTTCAAAATGGGCTGCCCTGGCAGGAGCAGAGGCAGCATGTTGGATTGGAGTAGGTAGAGCCCTGAGCTTGGAGTCTGAGGACTGGGATTTGACCTTTTGTTATCTGTTGGGTTTTCTGAGGGATTGGGTTAGATGATTGCTGATGCCCCTTCCAGCTCAGAATCCTTGAATTGAACTGACTGAGGATTATTTCTCCAGACTGGCAGGTAATCAAGACTGTTATTCCAAACCTTGATTTGAGAGGTTCAAAGCATAGTCTACCATGTCCCTGAACACCATAAACAGGAGAGCATACAGCACTAATGTGGGGGCTGATACAGCCCTAATGTTTCTCCTCCTCACAGAGGAGTGTAGGCTCATTGAGGGCAAGAGCTGTTCTTTTTTGTCTTTGGATCCCCAGATTATAGCCTGGCACGTAGTATAGTCAGGGGTGGGGACCCTTTGGCCTTGAGGCCACATATGGCCTCTAGGTCCTTGGTCGAGGCCTTTTGACTGAGTCTAAGTTTTACAGAACCAATCCTTTTATTAAGGGGATTTGTTCTGTGAAGTTTGGATTCAGTCAAAGGGCTGCCCTTGAGGACCTAGAGGGCCACATGTGGCCTTGAGGCTGAAGGTTCCCCACCCCACTGTAGATAATGAATACATGTTGTTGTTGTTGTTGTTGTTGTTTTTTAAGGCAGTTGGGGTTAAGTGACTCGCCCAGGGTCACACAGCTAGTAAGTGTCAAGTGTTTGGTCTGAGACTGGATTTGAACTCAGGTGCCCCTGACTTCAGGGCTGGTGCTCTATCCACTGCGCCACCTAGTTGCCCCGATGTTGTTGATTTTGAAAGTGAATTTGGGCCCTTCATCTGAATTGTCGATGAAACAAATATTTTATTGATGCCTATTTATAAGCTAGGCAATTCTCTCAACCGTCTGGTAACATTACTTTCAAGTTTATTATCCTTTGATTTGCTTAATCACCATTTTATTGACATTTTCATAAATTGAGACCAACCTTAATCACTGGCCTAAGCTTTTCAAAGGCCAGAAGGAGGATAAAGCTTTAATCAGTCTGTGAGGACAGGCTAGTAGGTTGAGGTAGAGCAAACTAGGGAAATTGGACAGTATTCTCATTATGACTTTATTACTTTAAAGTGAATTCCCAGAAAATTAGGCACTGACATTTGCATTTAAATACAAAATCAAAAAAACAGGTTGGGGACTGTCAGTAATTTGGGGTTGTCCAGCCCTTTGCCTGTCTCTCTTAGTTGGAATAATTGACAATGATTGAAAGTACTAGACTCATTGTGGTATAGAATGGAGCCCTAACCTTGGAAGCTGACTGTGAGCTCGCACACTTACTCTGGGCAGGTCTGTTCTCCGCCTCTACAGCTTGCCAGCGTCTTTCCTAAAAGGGAGCTCCATCGCTGTTCCAGAGAGCAGTGGCTCTGATGTCTCGCTCAATTTAAGCTTTTCTGATAACCGGTTCATACTCTTGGCTGATACTGAGCTTGCCATCTCTTTGTCAGACAAATTGCTTTCTAACCATTCCTCCCTCATCTGATATTTGTAAAGTGGACATTTTTGAATGTAACACTTTAAATTTATCCTAAATTACTGATTAAAAATGTCATATAGTATAGGCAGATAAGTGGGGCATTCTGCTGGAAACTTTCTTCCAATCTGATGTCAGTCCATTAATGGCTGCACTTTGGGTACCGTTATCTCACCAGCTTAAAACCCAACTGATTGAGACCTTGGAACAGGAGTTGTTACTTACCTACCCACCACACGGTTTCTGAATACGTATAATGTGGGCTATTTCTAGGGCTGACAAAGGAGTATTGGGGGGGGGGGAAGGCATCACTGCTACTCCTGTTGTTTGAAGGTCACCTTGATTTAACTGTAAATTAATGCCAGGATCCAATTCCATTGAAACAGATTTACTCTTGAGGGGATAATTAGTAGGCCCTGGACTGCTTATTTCTAGGAAAACTGTTAATGATGATGCTAACTGGCATTCCTAGAGCATGTTAAGAGTTACCAGGTGCTTGACAATGATTTTGTTTGAGCCTCAAAACTACTTTGTGAGTAAGCAGGACCCACTGGGGTATCCAGTTTTGCTCATGGCGGAACCTGGGGCTCAGAACAGTTCACTGACTTACTCATGTTTGGACACAGTCACGGTTTCCTGCTGCCTCTTGCGTTCCTTTGTGTGGCAGAGTAAGCCAGAATGAGCCTGGTTTGTATTTGACGTGGGCTTTCATCAAAAAGGACTTATTTTTTTAACCAAAAAAAGTAAATACACAGACAACAGTGACAACTTTCCAATAACGAACAATATGTCTTCTGTACCTCATGGTTGTATGTATAGTCATGTATGTATGTCTGTGCTTTCTAGTTTAAATGCCGTAGTTGTCTGCAGTGTTCTCATTCTGCTTCTGTTCACTTTGCATTATTTAGTATAGAATTTTCCATGTTTCTGTATATTCCTTGTGTTTTTCATTTCCTGTGTCTAGATGCTATCCCGTATTGATAAACCAGTCTGGCCATTCTCCTATTCTTGTCCATTTAAATTGTTTTCACTTCTTCCCTACTCTACACAACATAGGCATAAATATCTTTTTACAAATGGTTCTTTTTTTTTCCTTTATAATTACTTTCCTAGGATGCATTCTCAATCATGAAAATGGATAGGATCAGTTTTACAGCTCTTGTTTTGTAAGAGTGAGAAGTTCATCTGATGCTTGCTCCCCTCTCACCCTCCTTCCATGTTTGTATATTCTCTTCATGTACTCTGATGTTGAGAAATCACAGATTCCACCCCTTCTTCCTCCCTTCTACACTAGTGTGTTTGTGCTTTTACCACAGAATAAAACCAAATCCGCCCCCAAGAGCCAAACTTTCCTATTATTTAGCTCCCTCAGTACCCTTTAAAAGTATTAAGGTTCTTCAGGGACACTTCTTTCTTTTCCCTTTATTAGAATGTTAGCACCAGGACATCATACAGCTTCTTCCAATGGCTGAATTCAGTTTACTTTTCTAGATTTCTCTATGGTAAAAGGGAAAGTAGGAGAGGCAGAGTTCGGGGGAAAGGGAATGAGTTCTGTTTTGGACGTGTTGAGTTGTCGTTGAAAATTTCAGTGTTTCTTCTTCTTCCACCTCATCTCAAGCATTAGCTTCCTGATGTTTCTGTTACAGGTCTGTGCCATGTGTTTCTCTTCTTTTCTGTACTCGTCCTTTTGAGCTCATCAGGGAACTCCTTGTGCAGCCATCTAAGTCTACTTCAACGTCTTCTCATTTTCTTCCTCACTGGGATCACTCACCACCCCTTCATTTCCCATCATCCCCTGGGAACCTCTTCATCCTGGAGCATCACTTCAGTCCTCATCAGCACCCTCTGCCCCGGGGCCCCTCCTTCTTATTACAGGGTGGAGGGCTCCTCCTAGAATTCCCATTCCAGGCTGGCCTTCTCTTCATTCCCCCCAGGCTACTCTCCTCTAGGACTCCTTCTTATCCCCCAGCCAGGCTTTTCAGCTTCCTTTCATGTGTTGTCTTCCTCGTTAGGATGTGAACTCCTGCCTTCCTTCTTGCTTGTTTTTGAATTCTCAACACTTGGCATGGTGCCTGGCACATTGTAAGCACTTAATGCCTAAATTTTAAAGCCAAAACCTTATCAAGTCTGAAAGTTAGAGCACCTCTGGTCGAGAGACTTTGGAGTTGTAATCCTGGCTCTGCTGCTTGTTAGTTATGTGACCCTGGTCACCTCATTTCATCTCTCAATGTCTCAGTTTCCTGCTCTGTAAAACGAAAGCTGCCTTCCAGCTTTAATGTTGTTGATTTACACATAAAGGGTAATACCATAAGCAAACTAGTTTACATGTCAGATCTATGGAGAAGGGAAGAATTTCTGGCCAAACAAGAGGTAGAGAGCATTATGGGAAATAAGATGGATCATTTTGATTGTTGAAAGCCCAAGAAATCTACTTTTTTATTTCTGGACACAGAACAATGATGCTTATAATCCCTTTGAATGCATATGACGTTGGTGGTCCTGGAAGGTAGATAAATGCCTATTTTAATGCCTCCCTTTTATCTTTGCAGTCCTGCAGTTTTGGAGTCTAGTAGTGATGAAGAATTTGAAACGGGTAAGTAGAGCCTTTTCCAAACTATAATTTACATTTTCATCAACAGTTTGAAGGATATGATTGTAGATCAGGCTGAGCTGCCGTGTGGACAGATTTAGCATGAACTGAGTGCAGTGCAGTTAATAAACTCTATGAAGCTTATTCCTCGTATTGTTAGGAACCAGGTGTTCTGAAAGGGCTCTCCTTGCTCTCCTTGGCTTTGTTCTACTTTTTGCTCCTGGGTCCCTTACCTTTCTTTTGTTCTGCTTTTCCTGAGGACCAGCACATGATGGACAGCTTCCCACAGGCTGGGCCATGTGGCTTCTCCAGTGCCAGGAGTCTTTGGCTATTGCACGGCCCGATTTTGCTAAGCCGTCACTTTTTAAATGTAACCTGCTTTCTAATGCTTAATGTTTCCTTCTTTGTGATTTAGTGTTATCCCAGGTAAAAATTCCAAAGATCTCGTCAGTTTCATCTTGGGAGAAAAGAAATGACCAGTGAGTATGAGAATTATGGAAAGGGCAACATGTATAGTAGATTTGGGGTTCAGAAGCTGGAGGTTTGACTCCAACCTGAGACATTTACTAGCATTGTGACCCTGGGCAGGTCACTTTCCCTCCCTGGGCCTTGGCTTCCTCGTGTGTAGAATGAAGAGATTGGACTAAACCTCTCAAGTCCCTTCCAGCTCTCATCTTGCATGATTCTAAGATGGTTTCGTCATGCAGACCTTAAGGGCAGAGTATAGTGTAGGAGTCATAACCCACACCTGAGAGAATCCACAGTCTGATATACTCAACAAATGGGTCTCCTTCATCTCCTCCTGAGGTAACAGAATCTCGGAATCTATGTTTTTCCTTATACTGGTCGTAAATCTGCCTCTTCATGTGACAGACCTTCACATACTTGAAAACAGTGAGCATGTCTTCTCTTCTCCAGGCCAAACATCCTTGGCTCTTTCAGCTGTTGTTTCTGGGCATGATCTTGAGCCCCCTTCCCTGTCCCAGTTGTCCTTTTCCAGAGCCTGTAAGTGTTCACCCTAAGATGTTGCACCAAGAACTGACTCAGTAGCTTGTGACCAGTGTTACTGGTTTGTGGATAGCCAATAAACTTTGGGCTCTTATATAACTGGGTTAAAGGAGAAGTGCATGTACATTTGTACCAGTCCTGAAACTTGCTCTCCCTTCTTTGCCTTACCAGTTCCCTGTATTGCCTTGCAGATGTGATGAAGCTGGGAACTCCGTTGAAGAGTTGGTGAAAATACAAACATCTGGAGAAAAAACCAAAGGCAGGTAGTCTCTACACCCTCCTTAGACACACTCAACTTGGAGCAGGCTCAGCAAAGGCCGAGGTCCTCACTCAGACACTCAGAGCTTCTCAGAAGTACCGCTGGTGCCACCCTGTGGGAGAGTACCAGGGCTTCTCCATTATCCTCTGCCCCCGTCACCACACAGTGTATCTATCTGTGTACATGTTGTGCTCTGCTCCAAACAAACATGTCTTCCCGGGTTTCTCTGAAACTCTCCTTTGCCATTTCTTCTGGTGCAATTTTCTTCCATTACATTCCTATACCATAATTTGTGCAGTCATCTTAATTTCATAGATGCTTCCTCAGTTTCCAGTTTTTTGCTATAATGAAAAGAGCTGCTCTAGATAATTTTTGTACTTATGGGTCCTTTTTCTCTTTCTTTGATCTCTTTGAGGTTTAGACCTGATAGTAATATTGCTGGGTCAAAGTGTAAATTCTGTGAGGGCAAAGTATAGGCCTAGTTTAGTGACTTTTCAAGAACGACCTCTTTTCCTATAGCCTTGCCAATGTTTGTCCTTTTTCCTTTTTTTGTCATCTTTTCCAGTCTGATGGACGGGATGTGCAACCTCAGAATTGCTGTAATTTGTGTTTTTCTGATATTTTTTCCCGTGTGGTTCATATTTGTCGATAGTTTGGACTTCTTCCTTTGAGAGTTCCTTTTGTTCTTATAAATTTGAATCCATGTCTTATGTCTCTTCAGTATGAGACCTTTATCAGAGAAGTTTCTTGCGAGAATTTTTTTTCCCCAATTAATGATTTCCCTTTTCAGTTTAACTGCATTGGTTTTGTTTGTGCAAATTGTTCATTTTCTCTTCTGTGATCTTTTCTGTCCCAAGTTTGGACATGAACTTTTCCCTTAGCCATTGTTGAGAGCTTTAGAGGAAGGAGAGGAGCCGGACTGCTGAACTCAGATTTTTCGTAATAGCAAAAGTCGCTTTTTTCTTTCTGAATTTAATTTTGTTATTAAGAACTTAACCATCTCCAAATAAAATGAGCATTTCAATATACAAAGTAGAACAGAAAAAGGCTTGTAGATGACATTGCAAATCTTTGTGAAATACTGCTTTCTTTTCCTTTTAAGTGCACAACACGTCTAACACATAACATTCAAAGTTGTTCCAATTATCTTTTTTTCCTTTTGGCCTTTCTCCCATTCTCTTCTCTGCATTTTCAAAAAAATTCTTCAATGACCCTCTTTTTTTTTTCTTTTCTTTTTTTTCCCCTGGGAGTCAGGTTAGCCCTATCCCTAACTCTCATCCTTCCCCCCCCATTGAAAAAAAAAAAAAAAGAAAGAAAAAAACCTCTTGTAACAACTGGGCAAAAAAAAGCCGGAAAAAAAAAAGGCACATTGGCCACGTCCACAAGTATGGGTCATTTTGCACCCTGAGTCTATCAGTCCTCTGGAATCATGGCTGATCATTGCATTGATCAGAGTTTTTAAGTCCTAAAGCCTTTTCTGTTTATTTTGCTATTATTATGGAAATTGTTCTCCTGGTTCTGCTCACTTCACCCTGGATCAGTCTTCCCATGTTTCTCTGAAACTGCCCCCTTTTTTTTTTCTTTCTTTCTTTTTTTTTTTTTTTAAGGCAATTGGGTTTCAGTGACTTGCCCAGGGTCACACAGCTAGTAAGTGTCAAGTATTTGGTCTAAGGCCGGATTTGAACTCAGGTCCTCCTGACTTCAGGCCGGTGCTCTATCCACTGCACCACCTAGCTGCCCCTAAAACTGCCCCATTTCCATTTCCATTTCCATTTCCATTTCCATTTCCATTTCCATTTCCGTGTCTAAAGATGAATTACTATTCCATTGCATCCAGATATCATCATTTGTTCAGCTGCTCCCTCAGTGATGGGCTTAACCCTTTAGTTTTCAAGTCTTGGCTGTAACCAAAAGGAACTGCTTGAAATATTTTTGTACTTATTGGTCCTTGTTCTCTTTCTTTGATCTCTCTGGGCCTGCTAGTGATATCACTGTGTCAGAGGGTCTGCCCAGCTTTGTGACTCTTTCAAACTTGTTTGTCCTTATATTATGTTATTGTAGAAATTGTTCTCCTGGTTCTGCTCCCATTACTTTGCATTGGTTTGTACAAATCTTCCCAGGTGTCTTTGACACCATCCTTTTGCCATTTCTTATGGCATGATGATATTCCATCACATTCCATATACCATGATTTGTTCAGTCGTTCATCAATTGATGGGTACCCTCTTCAGTTTCCAGTTCTTTGCTATATACCTTTTTGTCCTCTTTGCTTTCTTTGGGGTCCATGCCTAGTAGAGGTATTTCTGGGTCAAAGAGTATAGAAAATTTAATGACTGTTGGGACATAGGTCAAAATTGCCTTACAGAATGGCTGTACCACTTCACAGTCCTACCAGCATTAATGTATACAACATTAATACACTTACTTTCCCATAATTCCTCCAATGGCTTTTTCAGCATATTCGCAAATTGTTTATAAAGCACTTGGCACATGGATTTTTCCATTCCACTTACACTAATTACTTTAATTTTATAGATGAAGAAACTGAGGCCAGGAGAGATTAGACTATCATTGTTTATACTCCACACCTGTTGTTTCCTGTCTAAATGCATATGCATCTTGTTTGGAATCCCACAAAAATGTCATATCTCTTACTTTTTCCCAAGCCGTACACTACCACGGCCTTCTTTGGGAAAGAGCAGAGCACTTGTTTTTCAACAGAGCTGTCCAAAAATGGAATGGGATACCTTAGGAGGTTATGGGGTCTCTATCACTAGAGAATCTTTAAGCAGGTTAGTGACCATTTTTTGGGAATGTTGTAGAGGAAATTCCAGTTCAGGTGCAGGTTGTAGAAACATTCTCTGCCACTCTCCACCCTGAGCCCAGTGTGTGACTCATAGAGTGTGACCCAGTGTACCATTAAGGAGGAAAGCTTTCTTGGTGACTGGTTTTTAGGTCACTCACCTGATACCATTATTGGAGGCCCCATCTGGGATATTCCAATGTCTGATGTATGTTCCTTCTTGAGCCCTTAGCCCTGTGTTGTGACAAACAAGTCTGCCAATTTCAATATTAGTAGGCAATTGACAGTGACAGTAAGTCTGACTTCTTAGACATTCCTTGGGGCAACTCGGTGGTCTTCCACCAAGGACAAATGAATGAATGTTCTTCATGTATTTTGTGACTATAAATAATAGGTATTTCTGTAGTTACTTCCTAGCTCGATGGTCTTTTCAGTTCCCCAATACTATGAAAAGTGCATAAACAAATAGACACAATTGCTTCTCACTATGTTTTTCTCAAGAGAATTGCCTAATTCTTGGTCTGTGTTCAATGTATATTTCCCTGCTCCATCTGATAAAATCCTGTACTTCTTCATAAGGCTCACCCACCTCAGACTGGTTTTTAATTTTGATAACACAATGTCATTGGCTGGATCCCATCCTCTTAGGGCCCCGGCTGTAATACTACTTTGTAGCCTTCCTGAGCCAGATGCTGACCGATTAGCTGATATTTTTCAATCTTGCCAGTCCTAGCTGTTTGGAAGGCAGAGTATTTATCTTTGAAGGCTATGGTAACATCTCTGACAGCGGCGGTTCACCTAGTTCTTATTGTCCAAGTTTACAAAGTCTGCTCTTAAGGCCTCTGTTGAATCTTCGTTTTTTCTTGCATTTCAATAGCTGTAGCAAAATTGCGCTGCCAGATGATAACCGAACTCCTTGGAGGACCCAGTGGTAGATGCCATGTGGGGCAGCACTTGTCTACAGAACCAAATCTCTGGGCCCTGTTCAATGGCTTGTACTCCAGCCTGGCTTTGTGAATGACTTGCCAGTCTGCAAATTGGGTAAAAGATTCTTCCCTCAGAAAAAATATTTGAGGCTATACCCATTGAATCATGGAGTATACTTTACCCTGATCTGGTTTGCTGACTAGCTGCTGTTGAAAATGATTTCTTAGTGTAGATTTCAAATTCCTCTCCATTCCTTCAAGAGCCAACAGACCGCCTTTCAGCCACGGTGCCAAGACATCATTTTTGAGATTTTAGCTGACAATGAGCAGATGTTAGGTAGGAGCTACTGTGCCCTCACCCCCAAACTCTTCCATAGAGCCATTGAATTACACGGCCAGCTCTTCTGGTTGAGGGTCCTCACTGTATTAAGAAAGAATTTGAGGCTACAATAAGGGAATGGTGGAATTACAATAGGTCTCAGTCTATTCTGTTTAAGGCAGTTTCCTGGTTGATCACAATTTCCCTTATTTCTGCCTTGCGGAGGGCTCTAAGGTCAGTCTTCTAGCACAGGATTTCCTCTGGTTGCTCGTTTTAGGGATGCTTTGTGAACTCTAGATTGTCCATTTGGTTACCAGAGGGGTCTAGGAAAGATGCCAGAAAAATGAAAGGCCTCTAGAAGGACTTGAAGCCAAAAAGCCTAGAATCTCACACAGCTAGAAAGTAGCAAATTTGGAATTTGGTTAGAAAAGTAAGAGTCTCCAAGTGGTCCTGAGAGGTAGCAGAATAGTTGGAAATCAATTTGGGGAAAGATCCTTGTCAATGTTGGCTTGCCTCTGGGTAGGCCTCTTAGCAGTGGTTAGCTACTAGAATAAGAGCACACTTTTCTCTAGTGCTTTCAGGTATTAACTCGTTTGATCCTCATAACACCTTTGGGAAGCAGGGACTCTTATTCTTATCTCCACTTTACAGAGAAGTAAACTCAGTTTCAAGGAGATTGAATGACTTGCCTAAGGTCACCTAGGTCAATATCCATGGCAGGATTTGAACCCATCTTCCCGTCTCCTAGTCCAGTGCTTGATGCACTCTGCTATGCTGTGTATTTTGGTGTATTTTTTTCCCTGGGGAGATTCCAGTTCCAGATGCCAACTCTGCTGTTTTGGCTCACTTTGTATCCTTGGGGCTTAGCACCATGCCTGGCCCATAGTAGGCACTTCATCAGTGCTAGTGGATGTATAGTCATTGACAGTCATTGTTGAATGACAGTCATTTTCCTCTTGCTAACACCACCAGGATAGGAAACAAAAAGCTTAAGTCCTGGGGAAATGCCAGGCCAGCATGCTGACCCTCCTTCACTCTTGGTTAATGTAACCTGCATCCTGTACTGTAGGTTTGCCTGAGCAGTATGTGGCCTGGCTTAAGACAGGCAGGTTCTCCTCACCTGCTTCCCTCACCTGTCCCTCCCTGGACCTTAGTTCTTCATCTTTGAAATGAGGGTGTTAACCTCTGAGGGCCCTTCCAGCTGTAAATCGAAGATCTGATGTGTGGCTTCCTCTCCCCGGGCCTCAGTTTCCTGTCTCTAAAACGGGGGAAGAGGAGGCTGTCCGAGTAACTAGTTTGAGTTCCCTTCCAGCCATAAATCTAATCAGGATGCTTTTGAACACTTTGGAATACAGATCTTGGTGCCCTCTAGATTTGGGTATGGGCGCTTCCAGGTTGGACTTCCAGGCTCTCCTGGGTGCAAGTTAACTTACTCCATTCAGATATTCTTTCTACTCAGCAATTTTCTAGTCCATTTTGTTTGTACTTTTAGAAAAGAAAGCCTTCAAGACTCCTTCAAAGGATGTTCCCACCTCAGTTCAGGATTCAGGGACCCCCACGCCCGGCTTTTCAGGCACTTCAGGGGTAGTGCCTACCTTGTCGACTCCCCCACTCACATCAGCCAGTTACGCAGATGCTCCGAAAAGCAGTAGAAGGTATGTGATTGATCGTGATCCGAGTCCTTGGTATGGCCTGAGGCCTGTGTATGCTGGGTGTTACGTGCAGAGATAGAAGGTGCAGTCTCTGCTGTTGACTTTAGGGTCTAGTGGAGGAGTGAACATGAACTCCACAGGAGCAAGGATGTGTCTAATGAAATCCCAAATGAGTGCCCCTTCCCTTCTCTGCTGCTGGTGCTCCTTTGTCCTCACTCCAGCTCTGGATGTGGACCACCCACTGGTGTCCAAATGAGGATTCAGAAGAGGTGACCAAAACTCCTTAGCCTTGACCTCTCTGTACCCTTTGACACCACCAATTGCTCTCGTCTCCTGGATATTCTCTTTTCTCTAGGTTTTTGTGATGTTGATCCCTCCTGATTCTTCTCAGTATCATTTATGTCATCCAGGTCATGCCCACTGACCAAAGGTGTCTTGGGCCTTCTTCTTTTCTTCCTCTATACCAGAGCTGTTAAACACACCTCCCGCCACTCCCACTGGGACTAGATTCAGATGTCATTGGGAAATATTTAACAAAGTAAATAAAAACAGAAGAAAACATAGCTAACATTACATTTGAAAACCAAGTCAACAAGCAGGCCCACAGGGACCCTTTGGTACAGATGAGTGACCCCATCTCACTCAGTCATCTCATCAGCTCCAAGCTGCTCAGTGGCCATCTGGATGCAGGCGGTTCCCTAACCCTAAGCTACTTTCTCTTGACTCAGTCTTGCCTTTTGAACATCTTGACTTGGTTGAACCATAGGAATCTCAAACTCAACATGTACACAAGAGGCCTTCTCATCTTTAGCCCCAGATTCTTTGCTCTTCTTCCTTTTTCTGTTACAGTTGAGAGCCAGTCACCGGCAGCCTTGACTTCCCTCTTGCACTCACCCCCATATATCCAATCTGTTGTCAAGTTGTTTCTACTTTTCCAGCATCTCCTCTCCACTTATATAGCTGCCTTTCTGGTACAAGCCCTTGCACCTTGTGCTCGGACCATTACTTTTGGTCAGTCTTCCTGCCTCAAGAAGCTCTCCAATCCATCCTCCACCTAGCTGCCAGTTGCTTTTCCTAAAGTACAGGTCTGGTCCAATCAGTCACCTCCTACTCAGCTTACTCTAGTGACTTCAGGGTCCAATGGAACATGTTCTCATTGGCATTTCAAGCTCTCCATAAGCTAACTCCTTCCCACTTTTTCCAGTCTTCTCCAGGCATTCTCCAATCTCGTGACTGGCCCTTGCCCTGCAGTCCTTGTTTTCTTTCCTTTCCCTGGGCTTCTCTCTCTCCTTTGCCTTCCCTCTGGGAATTTACAGTTCTCATTGACAATGGGCCCACCTCTTATGTGTGGAATTGTTTGCATATTGCCTCCCCCATTAGAACATGAGCTCCTCAAAGGCAGGGGCCTGTTTTGGCCTTTCTTTGTACCCCCAGTGCTTGGCATCTCATAAGCTCTTACTGAATGATTTTTGAACGCCTAACTGACTGAGAAGGGGAAACACACACAATGAAAATAGCTTGACCGCTTTTTGGGTGAAGTTATCTGACAAATGGAGAACAGAGACACAGAAGGGAAATTCTCAGGTAACCAGGCCCACTTCCACCCTCCTGTCTGGCTGCATGCCACAGGCCTGCCTGGCCCCCTCCCTCGCTTCTTTCTCCTTTGGAGTTCTAGCTGCAGTATCAGAAAGGGCCTGTTTGAATCCAAGGACTTGAATCCACTGGCAGCTTCCGAGGAATGGAAGCTGAAGAGCACAACCCAGTCCTCTCTGGGAATGTGCCAACAGACTAGAGTATGATCATGGATTCTGAGCTGAAATGGACCTGATGAGGCCTCTGGGAGCCTTGGGGGATCGTTGGTGGCAAACTCACCCCAAAAAGGATCCCTGGGAGCTGCATGTTGACATAGAGAACCACAGAGTCATGCCATCCGTGGTGGGTTGCATTTTTATTTGTTTTGTTCAACATTTCCCAGTTACATTCTAATCTGGTTTGGGCAGCCGGTAGAGAAAGATCATTGGATTCGGAGTCAACAAGCAAGCACACACAGGCTGTGTGCCAGTCACTTGTGCAAATAGAAGGAAAGGCAATCTCCGCCCTCAAGGGGCTTATATTCTAATGGAAGAAAGGAAGTTGAAAGTAAGAGTGGATGTTGTGGTGGGGGCAAGGGGGGGCCAGGAGTGAATCCTGGAGCAATGAAGTAGTGAACACCAGCCTGGGCCCTTCCTCCCACCAATCTGAGGACGGAGCCACAGGGGCAGTGGTTGGGAAAGAAATCTGGAGAGTTAAAGCACCTGAGTTCAAATCCTGTCTCTGCCGTTTAACTACCAGTGTGACCTTAGGTAAGTCACCTCATCAAATAGGCTTAGAGGGCTGGATTTGGAGTCAGGAAGATCTGAGTTTGAATTCTTCCTCAAATAGTAGCTTGGGCAACTCACTTAACTGCTCAGTGCCCCAGTTTCCTCATCTCTAAAATGAAGGAGGCCCCTTCTAGCTCTAAATCTATGATCTAAGACAGAGGTGGGGAACCTGCAGCCTGGAGGCCACATGTGGCCCTGCAGGTCCTCAAGTGTGGCCCTTGGACTGACTCCAAACTTCACAGAACAGATCCCCTTCATACAAGGATTTGTTCTGTCAAACGTGGACTCAGTCAAAGGGCTGCACTTGAGGACCTGGAAGGCCACGTGTGGCCTCCAGGCTGCAGATTCCCAACCCCTGACTGAGATCTTAAATGGGAGAGATCAGAACTTGCCTCCTCTGCCTTGACATCATGGTTGCTGTTTGAAGTGTCTAGTGTTACATGGGACATCCGGCCTGTCAGGCTAGAAAGCCTGACTACGTTGTCTGAGGTCGTCCTGGAATTTGGCCTTGCTCATGATTGTTCGACTTCAGTTTGCCAAATGGCTGTTGACTGAATATCCATCCCCCTGCCTCTCCTGTGTGCCCAATACTTTGGAGTGTGGCCCTGTTTTTGCCTGTTGTGGCCCCGTTTCAGTTTGGGTTCTAGGGTCTGGTTGCAGGGGGGTGTTAGTGTATCGATAAGGCAGTGATGGACCTGCTAAAGGTTGATAGGAATGCTTATTAAGTTGAGCGGCCATTTTAAGGCCATATTAAGGTTTCACAGCCATAATGACACAATCATTTCTTTAGATGTTTGTATAAAGTATTTTAATGTGGGTATATCCCAAAAGCTAAAAATGGCACTAAGGCTTTTGTAGCACCCTGTTAATGAAGACTGCCTAGCCAGATGGTCTGTTCGGATCAGAATCTCTATGCCTTTGTACTGATTCTCTTCCTATCTGTTAAACCAATCCTTTGGTTTTTCAAATTTAATTGATTTTCTTATATTAAAAATCGACTTTCTCTCCCTTCCACCTCCTCCTATCCTTGCTCTCTTTCCGTGGAGGGGGAGGGGAACGGAAAAAATAGACCCTTGTAACAAACATACATCGTCGAGCAAAATAGATTCTTCTCACATTGGCCACGTCCTCAAAATAAACATTTCATTCTGCATTCTATCCATTTAGCTTACCATTTATTAAGTGTCTCTTCTGGGCAAGGCTTGAAGTGTCAAGGGTCTGGGTTAGTTTGTGGGAAGGGAAAGGAGGAGATGGATGCAAGGAATGTGCTAAAGGAAGAATTGGATCTGGGGTGCGAAGGCAAGGGAGGAGGCGAGGGCCAGGCTTCAGGCCCGCATGACTGGGAGAATGATGCAGCAGCACCTGGAGAAGGAAGAGATTGAAGGGGAGACGATGCTTCGGTCGCTTGAACGCTGATGCGAGTTTGTCTCTGCAGGATGAAGACATGCAAGGTGGCTGGCTGTTTCTTGGCAGAGCTGTCCAGTTCCTCATCGGATTATGTAAAGTACTTCCACCTGAAAAAGGAGGAGCTGACCTGGAAGCTCTATCACTTCTATAACACCACAGTCTTCAGGAAGCAGGTAGAGTATGTCAGTTGGCAGAGAGGCACCATAGAGGGGTACAAGGTGGGGAAGGTGGGACTTCTGGCCTCAGGAGGCAGTGCCACCCACATTCTTCCAGCCCAAAGGGCTTTGGAGGAAGTTCTCAGAAGGCTTTGGAAGGAAGGAGGGAGGCCTTGACCTGGGGCCTGGTGGATGGATAGGATTTCAAGAGACACGGTAGAGGAAGGGACGTCTAGGAGCAGATGGAGAGCATGGTGCATGTGAAGGGTGGTACAGGGACCTGCTTGACTGTACTTTTGGAGGAAGTGTGTTGGGGAGTCATGAAAGATGGGGTAGGGAAAGCTGAACTTTGATTCCTTGCAAAAGTCTGGAACACATTATTAATGGCATTTAGAGAGAGAGAGAGAAAGAAATACTTATTAATGGGAAAATGAAATTCAGTGGGGAAAAAAGCACATTATTGATGGGGTAATTTGTAATCACGGTCACTAGGTTTGAAACATGTTGGACTTGGAGTCAGGAAAACCTGTGTTTGAACCCACCCCCAACCCCTGGTACTTCACCCCTCTCAACCTGAGCATCCTCATCTGTAAAATGGGGATAATGATAGACCCTTCCTCTCAGGGTTAGTGTGAGGATCAAATGTGCTAATATATGTGAACTTGTCCCCTGCCCTTCTCCCTTCCCCCCATCCTCCTCTACAGTCCTCTCGTAGTCGTGTATCTCGTTCTTGTTGTCCAGATGTTTTGGACTCTTTGTGACGCCTTTTGGGGTTTTCTTGGCAAAGTATTGCAGCGGTTTGCCATTGCCTTCTCTAGGCCTGTATTTTACAAAGTCCTTATTCATCTATTGACCTGTGTTTGTGGCTTAGCTCCATGTGAGCTCCAGGAGAGGCTTGCTTAAATATTTTTCCTCTTGAGGAAACTTTTCATCTTGTGTCCGCACACCTGTTCTAGCATTCTCTCCAGTTTGATAACTCAGCATCATCTTTTAAGTGCATACGTGAACGTCCTGCTTTGGGAGAATGGGGACTAGGGGAACGGGAGAGTTTGCTACTGCTGAGCTGCAGGCCTGAGGCCTGGGGGCGCCTTTGCTCGGGCAGCTTTGTCCTTCTTGTCCCCTGGGCCCACATTCATTCTTGGGAGCAGGAGGGGAGGAGGGGTTCACTCTGACAGGCAGGCTTTTTGCACTTGTTTTGGTCATGATCCCTTTTGATTAGGGGAAAGTAAGTGAATGAACAAATGAATGAAAAGCATTTGTGAAGCATTTATTAATAAATAGGAGGAAGAAAAAGACAAACCGAGGCAGCCTTTGCCCTAAAGGCGCTTTCACTCTAGTAGCTAAGGGAAGGTACTGGGTTGTTGGAGCAGGGTGGTACTCCTGATCTGTGGAGGGACACCTCGTGACTCCCTTCATGTATTCTTTGCCCTTAGCTGCCAGAGAAAATCAGCATAAACTGGAATAAAAAGATGCGTACAACAGCGGGATACTGCCATTTTTCAGGCAAGGAAGGTGGTCTACAAACAACTCGTAGTATCCGAATTGAGCTTTCTGAAAAAGTCTGTGACTCTGCAGGTAATGAGGAGTGTGATCTATGCTGTGTGACCTCAAAAGGCACCTGGGCTTGAAACCTCCGTGTCGTTTGGACTCTTCCTACTCTATTCTTTCTTGTGCCCAGTTAGTCACTAAGACTTGTCCCTTCTTCCTTAGTTCTCAGTCTCTTTGTTATATTCCTTTCCATTTCTGCTGTTCCCACCTTAGTCCAGGCCCTCACTGACTCAAACTGGACCCACTGAGTGGGGGTGGGGAGAGTGAAGGGGAAGGAAGGAGCATTCTGACTCCACCGTGGCCAATGAGTATGAGAGGAAAACGTAAGCCAGTACTAGAAAGGGCAGGGAAGGAAGCAGTGCCAGCAGGAGAGTGCCAGGTCTCAGTGCAAGGGGTGGGCAGATCTGGAGTGGGACATTGGTCAGGGAAGGTTAAGGTGGATAAGAGTAAGATGGTGGACAGTTGGAGATGGGGAATGAGGTTTGTACATCACCAGCAGAGGCAGTGGGGGCGGTGTGTGTGTGTGTCAGAATTTCTGAGCTAGGGAGCGAATAAGAGGCTAGGAGTATGCCAACTATTGAGCAATGAGCCCAGGCAATCTGTGGTTGGAGACAGGTCTGGAAGGAGGCATGTGCTTAGACTGAGGCCCTCCTTTGAAGACCAACCTTGTAGCAGCATGGTGATGCATCTTTTGGTGTGTGAAGTGTCCTCACCTTAGTAGGAGCAGGAGAAGGTATTAAAACCTAGTCAAGAGTAGTGGTCCCCTCCCTGAACTGGAGAAGGCCCTTGGGGAGAGGTACAGCAGAGGCCGGGCCACACTGGCACTAGAGAAGGCCACTGCAAAGGGCGCTGGCTGGTGCTTTCTGCTGGAGAGAAGGCCTGGGGGCACATGGAAGGGTCTTACCTGGGCTCCTGCCTTCCTCTCTCTCTGGTCTTCAAGGGCCCAGGTAGAGCCAGGCAATCTTTGCTGAGCAGCCAGCCCTCAGGGGTCCTCCCCCCTGAGCTCAGATTGTCTTCTCGCAGTGTTGGAAACAGAACCCTTGCTCAGTAAATACCTACCGAGTCATAGAAAGTGAGCTCCTTGACAGCTGAGATTGTTTGATTGATTCTGTCTTTGTATCCCCATAAATGCATGTTGCTTTGATTGAATGTTTGAAGCTAAGGTTCTCTCTCTGACTGAGAGGTGCTCATTAGGGAGTTGGAGTGGATGAAATTTCATTTTTCCATCTGCTGAAAAGAAAATATTTAGTGCTGATTGTGTATGTGAATAAAATGTATATTTCATGTGGAAGAAAGTTTAGGAATATTGTGAGTTCCAGGTGGCAAGAGGAATGTTTCAGGTACTCATAATTTTTTCTTTATTTCTCTTCCCAGACCGGCTTCGGGACACATTGATCCATGAATTATGCCATGGGGCTACCTGGCTGTTTCATGGTGTCAGAGACTGTCATGGTCCCTTTTGGAAGGTCTATGCCCAAAGATCTGCGCTGGTGCACCCCGAACTGCCTCTGGTTAAACGCTGTCACTCTTACGAGATTCACTACAAGTTTATCTACGAATGTGCTCAGTGCAAAGCCAGGTAACAGAGTCCCTTTCCCCTCCCCTCCTTCCCTTTTGTTCATTGGCAATCCTACATCAAATCCTTTAGCATTTTCCTTAGACCCCTAGGATATATGGCCCCCTGTGAATTGAAGACTAAAACCAGTTTCTCAGTGTTCTCTCCATGCACCCCACCCCCACCCCCATTTCTATCTCCCTCATCGGGATGCCGCCTTCCCTCCTCACCCCCCATATACATCTTTTGTCCCTTCTTTGGCCAATAGCTCAGTGCTCACTTTTGTTCCCATGATCTGATTCCTGGTTTTTCCGTTTTAGGGTTGGCCGTCACTCCAAGTCGGTGAATACCGAGCGTGTAGTCTGTTCTCTGTGCCATGGGCCTCTACTATTGCTTCCGCCCAGCCAGAGTGCTGGCACATCTGAGCAGACTCAATCTGCTCCAGCTGCCACATATATGAGAATAAGCCACCGCTCTGTTACGGGAAAAAGTGTTCACTTGCGCCAGAGAGAGGCGACATTAAATGAAAATGCTGAGGCCCAGTAGGGTGCGGTGACCGTGGGTCAGGATATTGCTGTTTCTAGCAAATTTATTTAGGGCAGATTAGCTGGAAAACTAGTGTTGAACTGTTCAAATTTTTTTCCACGTGTTTGATGTAAAATTTAGTGCTGATTTAGAATCCTGTGCATTTGAGTAGTGATTTCCTGTCATTGGCCAAGTAACATCAGGATTGTGGCTGTGAAAATATCTAGCTGCCCTCTCCTTCTGCCTCCACGGGCCCAGGATTCTGACAGTGTTGGGAGCTGAACTCGTTTGGGTGAAATGGCCGCAGCTCTGTGAGGGGCGAGAGAAACCAGAACAAGCATGGCCCAGCTGAGGATTTTAATACAGATTTTAGCCAGGAGTACTTGGATTGTCACTGGGTTTTTTCTTCCAGAGAAAAACTAAGCAGTAAGCATTGGAGTTTATTGTGAAGAATAAAATCTTTTCATGGCATTGGTCGAGACTTTTATTTACATACCACCAGCTGGTGCTTCCCAGGGTTCCACCCAGATTCTTCTGGAATCCCTCCCTCCCCCCCTTCCCCTTGAGGGGACAGCTGCAGAGACCCAAATGACTGAAATCCTTTTTGGTAGTTGTTTTGCTCTGTCCTCTCTTCACCTCCTGACGCCTCAGCACGTTTAGTGCCCGTGGACCTAGGCTAGCTCTAGCCTTACCTACACAGGACCAGTGTCTTTCTCTTTGGGCCTCCACTCAAAGCTGCGGTTCTGTAACTGGCATCATGGAGCCCTTTGGCAGGCTGGGCAAAAAACCTCAGAAGAATGGTTTGTTGCCAATATTCGTAATTGAAGGAAATGCTAAATCTCAGTTAGAGGTTAGTCAAAAGAAAGATGTCCTTTTTTTTTTTTTCCCTCATCCAAGTTCATGCACCCCAGGTAAAGAAGCCCTGCCGAGGCTGGCATCTGTGGAGAAATGGGGGGAAGGGCAGGCAAGCAAAGGCCGAGGTCTGCATCTTTACAGTCCTGAGTATGAGGCTTCTGTGGTCTCTGACCAGGAGGAATCTCTCCTGGAGGATGATGGAGTTGGCCGCAGGAGGGCCTCTTGGCCTGGGCAGCCCAGCCTCCCTAGCAGGGTCCGCATCTGGCCTCGGAACTTAACACCCACGAAAGCATAGAGCAGGGGGTTCAGGCAGCAGTGCACAAAGCCGAGGCCTGAAGTGATGGACTTGGCCACGTCCAGTTGGCTCTCCCACTCACAGTCCCGGCTCACTGCATTCAGATCGATGAGTATATCCACTAGCATGGCCAGGTGGTAGGGCGTCCAGCAGAGGGCAAAGGCCACTACCACAGTTACCACTACCCTCATGGCCCGAAGTCTTCGCTGCCCCCGAGAGCCCAGCAGTACTAGGAGGATGTGAGTGTAACAGTAGGCCATAATGAGCAGTGGTAAAAGGAAGCCAGCTAGGAGCTGCAGGATATTCAAGGCTGTGTGGCCAGTCTGGGGGAAGGTATAAAGGCAACGTGTGGCATTGAGGCGAGGTTCGTGCTGGGCCGACAGGAAGAGCAGGTCTGGAAAGGCCAATAGCAGGCAGAGTCCCCAGACGATGACACAAGTGAGGGTCACACGTGTCCCAGGGCCCCGCCGGTAGAGTTGGGTGGCATGTACAATGTTCAGGTAGCGGTCAAAACTGATACAGGCCAGTAAAAAGGCCCCTGCATAGAAATTGATCTTGAAGAGGGCCCCTGCCACCTTGCAGAGGCCTGAGCCAAAGACCCACTCCCAAGCAGCCTCCACAGCCCAGAGTGGGAGGGTCAGCACCAGGAGCATGTCAGCCAGAGCCAGATGGAGCAGGAAGGTGTCAGTACCACTCAGGGCCCGGTGCTGCCTGAGGAGGACAGCTGCCACAGCTCCGTTGCCCAACAGGCCAAAGAAGAAGAGAAGGCTGTAGAGGGTGGGCAAGAAGGCCAGGTCAAAGGTCAGGCTGAAGTCATGGCTGCAGGGTGGAGAGGAGCAGCAGGGAGTGGACTCGTTTTCTGAGTAGTCGTAGGGAAAGCTGCTGTTCTCCAGGAAGCCGAGATCAAGCAGCAGCGAGTGGCCACTGACCTGGGAAGACAGTGGGAGGGGTAGGACCCAAGAGCGCAGCTTGGCACTTGGCCGCTCCCTTCCTGGTTGCCCTGCCCTGTCCCAGGAGCTTCCCCCCCACTTCTCATTTCAGGCTTCCGGAAGGCCCCTGGGCACAAGGCAGCTGGCGGCCCGACACCTCCCTTTGGGCATCTCCTCCCATTCTCCTGGCCGGGAAGCTGGTGCCCAGTGCCGAGGGTGGAGAGAGGAAGCTGCCCCAACAGCAGCTGCTCACCCCCCCCCGTATGTCACCCTACACCCTGAGAGCCTCCCAGGCTGCAGTGTGCCCAGATACTTACCTGGGACATCATGGCAGTACCGGAGCTCACCAGCCTAAAAGCCGCTCCAGGTGCTGGAGGCTGTGTGCTGCTCCCTGCTCACCACCACCAGCCAGCTGTGGGGTTGAAATCTGGACTGAGTAGTTCAGAGGAAGTGAAGAAGAGTGCATGTACATGCGCATGCATGTGCAATGCGTGCGCCCCCCTCCCCTCCAGCCACACCAGGCTTTCCTACACCAGAAAACCTCAAGAGATGTGCGTCTGTCCCAGCTAGCGATTGTGGGGAGAGCAGAGGGAGGGGGCACTGCCCGGGGGCAGTCCCAGGTTCACTCAAAACCTTGTGGGCTGCTGCTGAAATCAACTGCATGGAACTAGCTGCTCAGCATCTGGAAGGAAGGCATAGGCCAAGTGTGTTCATGTCAAGAGAAGGGACACTGAGTCAGCGCCTGCTGGTGAAGACAGCGGCTGCTTCTAAATCGCGTCCTAATTCTGTAATCTTTGGGGGCACACTGGGGGTTATGCAGGAGCTGCTTCCTGGGCCTTGGGCTTCTCCTCCCCTCCCTTATGCTATATGCATAGGAGTCCAGGTCTACAGGAGAATCTAGAACTGCCTGATCCAATACCCTTATTTTAAGGCAAGGCAGCTGAGGCACAGAGGTTAAGTGACCAGCCTAAGGTCATAAAAGCTGTTTTGAACCCAGGTCTTCTGACTGCAGAGATTATAGTCTTCCCCTGTACTACTGAATGACTGTGTTTCAACTGATTTTCTCTCCCTCCCTCTCCCAACCTGCAGAGAACAGTGTCAGAGAAGCCAAAGTAGGGGGATGGCTGACAATCTCAGAGGCCATTTATTCTAACCCGTACCTAATGCAAATCCCCTTGCCAACAAGCATCTGTGACCAATGAGCCCTGAACAAGCCCTAATGATGGTGAGTTCACTACTTCCCAGGGCGGCCCGTTACAATTTCCAACAGATCTCATCTCAGGCAGGTTTTTCATCTTGAAGCAAATGCGTCTGTATCAGCCCTAGTTTGCCCTTTGGAGCTAAACAGAAGTGTGGAATCTCTCTTCCACACAACAGCCTTAAGAACAAGCACAGCAAGAAGCAAAAGGAACATACAATGGAAGGAGGGAGGAGGATGAGCAAAAGGGCAATGCGGAAGGGAGGGGATGTGATGGGAGGAGCCACTGAAAATCTGGGGTGAGGCCCGTGGAGCCCATGGGTCTGCCCCCTCGCTTCTGTCTCTTCTGCTGCCTAAAGATTCCCATGGCCTGGTCTCAAGTGGCCTCGGCAGCCCTGGCCTTGGCCTCTCCTCTGGATTGTCAGTGGTGCTCAGAACAGACAAGACCACTGGAGGTTTCCCTGGGAGCCATCTCAGTGAAGCAGGAGGGGGAATTGGCCAATCAAAAAGCATTTATGGGAGCGAGCTAGGCACTGTGCTAAGCTCTGGAAATAGGAAAATAAATGCCAAACAGTCCCTCCCTCTCTTCAAGGAATTTATGGAGCAGAAGCCACCTTCTGGGGGCTTATCAGACCAGCTGCTTGTGAGGAAGTAGAAGCAGCAAGCAGAGCAGCTGCTGAGAAGAGCACGCTGGGGCTGGCTTTAGAGCCCAACTTTGGTTCCCTCATCTGGAAGATGGAGGCGCTAACCCCTGGAGGAACTGCCTCATGGGATGATGTGTCCAGGGTGCTTGGCTTCAGGAAGGGCCCAAGCCAGGCCTGGCCCCCCAGCAGAGGTGTGGAGGCCAAGATTGTGGAAGGACCTTTAGAGGTCAACAGATGAAACTGAGGGAGCCCAGAGGGCTCAAGTCCCCAAAGTAACTGGCAGAGCCAGGATTTGAACCCAGGCTGTGACTCCTAATCTGGTTCAAATTGACATTCTCTCCACTACAGCACACAGTCTGATCAGATCAAAGGATTGTCCAGAGAGCTGCCAAACTGACCAGGGAGAGAAAAGAGTTGTCCCCCAGATCAGGAAAGAGGCTCTGAGGAGGCATTTCCTCCCAAGGCAATGGGCAGACTACCCCCTCCCCCAACTCTGAAGAGAAGCAGGCTGGGCCTGGGCCAGGAAGGGAGGAAGTTACTCAGAATGAAGCTGCTCCAGGCCCAACCTGTGGCCAAGGTGTGAAGTGCTCAGCCCTGCACCTGTATCCTCTCCCCTCCCTGGCCTCCTCCAGGCAGGAAGGTTGGGGCTGATCCAGCCTCCTGTTGTTTTCACACCTTGGGGCTGTGGTTTGGGGGGGGGGGTTGGCTTTATGAGCAACTGCCCCAAATCTGTGTTCTGCAGAGGGAACAGAATTCAAAAGGGAAGGGGCCTCTCCTGGTGGGGGGTGTTCCTTCTTTGGAGGATCTATACTTAGCCTCTAGTTAGTGGCTCCCTGAGTTCCCCTGAGGAGGCCAATGATCTTGGCCAGAGTGGGGAAGGTGGAGGGTAGGAGGAATGGAGGTAAGGTGGAAACCCCTTTAGCAATAACTGAAAGTCCTACCGTTGATTGAAGAGGCAGCTTCTGGATGGATACACAGGGCCTGGCAAAGTACCAGTCAGTCTGAAAAAGTTTAGGGGCCTGAGTGGCCCTGCAAGCTCAGTATGAGGAAGTGGCCAGCGGGCTCTTGAGAAAGGAGAATTGAGAGATCTCTGGAGGTCTGGGGTCAGCTCTGGGCACCACAAGTTGCGAGAGTTACTTTGGACCAGATGGGCTTCTGAGGTCTGTTGTGGCTCAGAGACTCCAGGAAGTGATTTTTCTGTGGGGAATAAAGGATGACCAGAGCTTTAAGACTGTGTAGCCACTGTGGGCACAGGTTAGAGTAGACCATCTGGGAAAGATACTGCTTGCTAGGGACTGAGATCTGAGAAACTGGGGAAACCAGGAAGAAATCAGAAAATGAAGTCCCCGGGCCTAGCAACCTGGACGCTGCAGCTGAGAAAACCAAGTGTTCAGTTTGGCAAAGGTCTGCGTCCCCGGGACCCCAGCCACAACCTCCCCAGGCACTGGATTTCCTTCCCCCTCTCCACCCAGAGCCCTCCTGGCCCCTGGAAAGGCAGACAGGAATCAGGGAGAGGACATGAAACGAGCTGCAGGGAATGCACAGGCTCACAGAAGGTCTGGCCTTACTTGGCCTGCCACATTTAAAGCTTCGAAGATCCCATCCTTGTTTGCCAGGGCCCCAGGCCTGCCCTCTATCTACCCTGACATGGAGCTCAGGAGAAAGGTTGGGGTTTGACATATAGATCTGGGCCTCATCTGCATAGGGATGCTAATTGAATCCAGGAGAGTCGATGAGCTCATTAATCAGCAAAAAAAAAAAAGGGGGGGGAGGGATGACAGAAGAATGGAGGGGAGAGGAGAAGGAAGACAGAGAGAGACACACACACAGAGACAGAGGAGAGATGGAGAGAGAGAGAAAAAGACAGACATAGAAATAGAAAGACACAGAGACAACCAGAAAAGAATGCCAGAACCAGAGAAAAGAAAGCAAGAGAGACATGTGGAGACATGTGTAGTGAAGACAGAGAGAAGAGATGTGCAGAAATGGTGGGGGCCTTTGGGACAGAAAGGCACACATGTAGAGCTACGTCTCACCCTTCTCTCCAATAGTTGTCTCTTTGGCATGGTTCTGATAGCAAGGCCAACGGGGAGGGAGAGAGAAGATTACCCCAACACCTTTCAATAGTTTGTCTTCTGACATGGTCAGAACCTTTTTTTTTAACACTATTTATCTCATCATTTTAGTTCTTATTAATGACCCAGAAAGAGAGAAACTGATGCTCACCTTATCTCCTTATCATAGTCCTGACAGCTAGGGTAAAGGGAGGGAGAGACAATGTCTCTCAATGGATCTCTCAGCTTGGCCCAGGGGAAAAGAACTTCTTCAATCTTCAGTGTTCCTCAATTTCTTGATGGGATACTGCCAGCCAAAGCAGTCTTTACCAGAGTTACCAGAGTCTTTAAAAGGTGGGAGGATAGAATGAGGGAGGAGCAGGAGGGGAGAGGGAAGGGGTGAGAGGGGACAGGGGACGGGGGGGGGGGGGGGGGGGGGGGGGAGAGAGAGAGAGAGAGAGAGAGAGAGAGAGAGAGAGAGACAGAGAGAGAGAGAGAGAGAGAGAGAGAGAGAGAGAGAGAGAGAGAGAGAGAGAGAGAGAGAGAGAGAGAGAGAGAGAGAAAAGATTTTGCTTTTCCAGCCTGTCATCTCCTTGCTTTGGTCCTGGTGGTCTGACCATGGAAAAGAGTGTCTTTTCCTTGTTCTCACACTGGTCACCTCTTTGCTGGAGTCATGTGGGAGAGAAGCAATAAGAGATATGGGTGAGAGAATCTGTCCTCCATCATCATTTTCTGTAATCTGATGATAAGGCCCAGAAACAAAGAGGGTCTGCCTCTATCCATCATGTGGCACCACAGTAACAGTCAGGCTTCTGGTAGCTCGTCCTTCCAAGAATGAAGAAGATACAGAGAGAGAGAGAGAAAGAGAGGGAGAGGGAGAGAGAGGGAGAGGGAAGGAGAGGGAGAGGGAGAGAGAGAGAGAGAGAGAGAGAGAGAGAGAGAGAGAGAGAGAGAGAGAGAGAGAGAGAGAGAGAGAGAGAGAGAAGATTTTTCTCTTCCAGGCTGCCGTCATCTCCTTGCTTTGGTCCTGGTGGCCTGACCATGGAAAAGTATGTCTTCTCCTTGTTCCCACACTGGTCACCTCTCTGCTGTTGTCTTGTGGGAGAGAGGGCAGGAGAGGTATGGGTGAGAGAATCTGTCCTCCATCATCATTTTCTCCAGTCTGGTGACAAGGCCCAGATATCAAGATGGTCTCCATATATCTGTTATCTGGCATCGGATTAACAGTCAGGCTTCTGCTAGCTGGTCCTTCCAAGGATGAAGAAGAAGAGAAAAAGAGAAAAGGAGGGAGAGAGAAAATCTTTCTGTTTCAGCCTGTTATCTCCTTGCTGTGGTCCTATTGGCCTGATTATAGAAAAGACAGTCTTCCTCTTTGTTCCCCTCCTCTGTACTCATATGATGGTCACTTCTTTTCTGGTGAGAGAGAACAGATATAAGCTGCTCTCTATCTTCCTCCGTGTTATTGTCTTGCAGCAGAAGTCTTGCTTCCTGGCCCAGGAAAACAGGAAGGTTCTCCTTTTGCTCTTGGGCTTTTATCCGCTGGTTGGGATCAAGTAAACAAAACCAAAAAGGGGCTCCACACGCCCCTGCCCAGGGGGACTCCTCCTCCTCATTCTCTCTCTCTCTCTGGATCTCAATTCCTTACAGGCCTGTTGTCTGGGTCCAGGGAAAGAAAGAGGGAAGGAGAGAGTATCTTTGTCTTCTAGTCCTATTGGCTGGACCCTGAAACAGACAAACTTTTCAGTTGGCCACACTTGGTAGTGTGATTTTGTGGGAGAGAGGGACAAAGAGCCTTTCCTTTCTCCTAATTTCCTCCAATTTGGTGACATGACCCTGAAGTAAAGTGAGTCTTTTCATAACTGTCTTCTGACACTCTTTACAGTTAGGCTTCTGTGGACAGGCTGGGCCTGCCACACATGTGGAAGAGGAAGAGAAAGAAAAAGAGACAGAGACAGAGAGTGGTAGAGAGAAAGGGAGAGAGAGAGAGACAGAGAGAGAGAGAATATTTTTCTTTTCTAGCTTTTCATCTTCTTGCTGTGGTTCTATTGGTCTTACCATAGAAAAGAGAAAGATTCTTCTCACTTGCTCATATAGTGGCCATCTCATTGCCCTAATTTTATTGGAGAGAGAGAGAGAGATACAGGTGAGAGACTCTTTTCTCCCTCATAATTTCCTTTAATCTGGTGATAAGGCCAAGAAATAAAGAGGGTCTTGTGAGAAACGAATACTTCTTTTTTTAAAATTTAATAACTAATTATTATATTAGGACCAAGGTTTTCCCTCTTTTCTAGTTCCTCATCTACAAATCAACCCATTTGGATAATCTCTCTTAAAGATGTCCCCTGACCAAGATCTAATCAATTCTACTTTTAGACCAATTTCCTGCTCTTTTGTGTTCGCTCAGACAGGTCTGGGAAGTGTTGCCTCTCTCTTTTGTCAGACAGGTCATATGGAAATTGGTAAGTCTACTGTAAGAAAGATTTTAGGGGGTTAGGCTTCCACAGCAGGGTAAGAAATTCCAAGATCCTTGAGCAAGTTGTGGTATATGAATGTCATGGAATACTATTGTGTTATAAGAAATGCTGAGCAGGCGACTTCAGAAAAACCTGGGAAGACGTGTATGGTCTGATGCCGAGGGAAGTGAGCAGAACCAGAATGTTGTACACAGTAACAGTCACGTTGTTTGATGACTAATATTGATAAACTGAACCCTTCTCAGCATTACGAGGATCTAAGACATCTCCAGAGGCCTCGGGATGGAAAACGCTGTCCACATCCAAAGAAAGAACCATGGAAGTCGAATCGCTATCACTTACTTTTACCTTCTGTTGAGTTTTGTGTCATCTTTCTGATGGTTCCTCCTATTGGTTTTAATTTTTACTTACAACTTCACTAATGTGAAAATATGTTTAATGGGTATGTAAATGTACAGCCTATGTCAGATTATACACTGTCATGGACGTGATTGTTGAGAAATCAAAAGAAATTAAAAAAAAGAAATTCCAAGATCTCATGGATAGTCCCTGAACCAATCAGAAAGTGCTCCCAAGTTTTCTGTAAACAACTAGTTCCTTAAGAAAGAGCCCTGGAGGCTAAACCAGTTCAAGGACCGGGCTTCAGTGGGGCAAAGGCTTTTCTCCACTGCCTGGCTTAATAAGCTTATTGAATGTGAACTGAAATGCCCCAAGGGTGGAGATAGCCCCCATTTTTGAACATGGGACCCATGAAGTGGGCAGAGTTAACACAACATGGACAAACATGTGATGGGCTGTCCAGGAAGGGTGTAACTCAGATGAACTAGACCAATCGTAGCCCTGGTGGGTGGAGTATGGATCTTACTAACGGTTTAAAAGTTGATTCTACCACTGAACCAGTGCCCTCGTGCTACTAAAGTGTGTTGTGCCCACTTCTCTCATGGCAAGTGTAATAAAAACTTTCCTTTATTCACTCACTCACTGTAGTAGGTTTTTGTTTCAGATTTTTCTAACATCTACTTAAGGGGAGATTTGGGTGATCCAAGTCAGGGACCCCAAAGACCCTCATTTTAATATAGCCCACCTCCCATTTTAATATTTTCCTTCTCACAAGAGTTGACAGCTAACCCTCAAGAACATCTACTCTTCTAAGGGTATATAAAATGTGAACCCATTGCCATTAAGGCTCTTTGGTCTAAGAGAGATGGCTAAGTGACCATCCTTTTATTAATAAATGTGTTGACATTACTAGTAAAATGATTAAATTATCCAGAAATGATGTCTCTCTGAATATTTTAATCATCACAGTTGATGACCAAGAAGAGACTTTAAAGAAAAAGAGACAGGTCTGCCTTAAGATCTCCCAGGAAATTCCTTTTCTGAGTGTTCAACAGGTGAAACTTTGTCACCTAGAAAGAGGTTCTTTCCTGAGAAATTTTAAGTTGAGATTTTAACTCTTTCCTCAACCTAACACTTCTGATTCTAACGTGCAATCAGTTCTCTAGGTGAATACATATGTGTCTATATTTCTGTTTTTACTGTTTGAGCTGTGGCTTTCACTTTCACGGGGTGGGGGGTGGGCATTACGTTAAGTAGATGCGTCTGCCTGAAAGAAATCCCCTGACTTAAGCTACATTGGGATAAGAGGGGAAAGTCTGTGTACACAGTAAAGGACCACCTGGAAAATTCAGGATATTTTGGATTTCAACTTACAAAGATCCAATTGTTTGGTACAAGACCCCAAAGTACTAACAATATATTCTGAATCATTTATTTATTTATTTATTTTTGCAGGAGTAGGGTTTCCAGAAAGGGAAATCTGGGCCATTACTCTGTGAGAGAATCTCTAAAGCTACAATCTTTGCTTTCAAATTTTGGGAGTTACATATAAATTAAGCTGTGTGTGAAAAGAACTTTAAGCAGAGGAAGGAATTAGGTATTTTTATTCTGAGTATGTCAGGATAGAGTGTGGTTAAGACTCTGCCCAAAAGGGCTTTGAGAGAAGCCCTAGTCTATTCTTGCTGTCAGGTGTATGAGGCAAGGAAAGAAAGTAGCTTTTATCTCAACTTTGATTTCTGGTATTTTGTGTGTGTTTCTCTGACTCTCTGAGATTTCGTAAGATAATGGCCTGCATCAGTGAAATCAGGGAAGGGGTTTTCTCTCTAAGCACTTTCCTGGAAGCAAAAGGCTCAGTTTTTACATAGGGGCCCAGAGCTGTAGCTCAGGCTGCTGAGGAAAAGCCACCTTTGATTTTTTAATGGGCAAGTGAAGTGATATTCAAATTCATCTAAAGTGAAACTAAATAGCCACAAAAGGGATTTTTTTTTCAGTGCACAAAGAAAGGAAGACAAAAGGAAAATCCAGCCCCAGATGAGGCAGGTGAGTAAAGACCTTGAATGTATTTGAATGGGAGTATTTAGGGAGAGCTCTGAATTTAGAGCATTCCTGGAGCCTGGTCAAGTCTTAACTGAGAGATGAGGCTAAGTGGAGACTGGAAAAACTATTAAAATACACACAAACATAGATATACATATATGTATGTATATACATCCACACACGTGTATGGGGTGTGTGTGTGTGTGCGCCGAATAAGAGATGGGACCTTGGTTATTTTGTTTGTTTTTGCTAGGCAATGGGGTTAAGTGACTTGCCCAGGGTCACACAGCTAGTAAGTGTTATGTGCCTGAGGCCGGATTTGAACTCAGGTCTTCCTGACTCCAAGGCCAGAGCTCTATCCACTGCGCCACCTAGCTGCCCCTGACCTTGGTTATTTTAGTCAGATGAGTATTTTAAACTTGATTTGAAGATCTAAAACCTGTGCTGATGAGAGAGCTTTCAAATACATATCCCCCTCATTGTTTTAAAGAAAA